CGCATGCGCAGAAAGATTTTAGCTTTGAGGTTCGGATTATAGATCATTCCAGATTATAGGTGTCCGAATTAACGACTTTTGACTGTATAACGAAACAGTTTGCATCATACAGGGAATCAGTCTCTTCAAAATTTGTTGCATTATGCATGATCTATTTTCTCTGTAAATACTTAATGTTTGATATGATTATAAATGTTTGATAGTTCATAACGTAGAGTAAACGTGGGAAGATTTGGTTATGTACTGCTAAGTAACTTTTGCTGTATTTAATATTACTATTACATTAGTGTTTATAGAGTATAAACTCTGAAGGGAAATATGATACCTCATGTTTTAAAGAAATTATTCTTTACTTTGCTATTAACGCAATTGGTACAGTCTATAAACAAGCTATTCTCTTTTCTAAAATAACAATTTTAAGTTTTTAAATTAGTGAATATAGTTCTGTTTGTATCATAATTATACTTACAAATTAACACTGCATTATTTAGATTATAACAAAGGACTGAACAGCTATTTGCCTAAGAGGAAAAATGCCTTTTTGGAATACTTTTTATAAGATAAGTTCCTCGCTTCCATGTTACACATGGAAAAAACCACAAAACTCTCATACAATCAGTCCATTTACTGGGATTTGAAACTGGGTTGAACTAACAACACTCTTCAATTTTACCAATTGCCTATTGTGAACCATTTCCATTGCAGGAAAATATTGTTAATACACATTAAATATGTGTCCCACTAGTCACTCAGAAGTTATGACCTCTGAACACTGGTAGTTCAACCCAGGTTTGAACACACTCAAATGATCTAGTTTGCATGGTTGTTTTTCTCCATGTGTAACATGAATATGAGCTAGTTTCCCTTAGAAAGTTCTCCACAAAGGTATCCCTGTCCTTAAGCACGTAGCCCTTGTGTACTTGTGCCATAATAAAATAACCTAACCTTAAATTTGAATGCAGTTTTCACAGTTATGGTAAATCACACATTTTAAGGTATTTTTTAAATTTTTCTTGAACTATAGAGAAAATTACTCATTATCTGTAATATGTGTTATTGATCATTTCATATTCTTAGACATCCATACCCTGAAAGGTCATTAGGCTTTAAATGTAATAAGTCATTTGCATCATTGGAAAGAAACATTATATCTATTGCAACGATTCATCCACTACCACTTGTTTTTCTATATTCTCCTTTTTCTACATAACATACATATATGTCTAAGTTTTTGTGCTTTTGTTCTCACCATTTACACAGTCATCTGTTTTCAGGTAAGGAAACATCTGAGAATATTATAAACTTGCTATTAAAATTCTAAAAACAAAAAGAAGAGGTGCATGATGTCTTTAAAGCAAGCCACATGTCACACACACAGTCTATGCATGCAGAAGACTAAATATGAGATTTTGCCGAAAACAATCAAAACTGCACTATGCTGTCCACCACTAGGCTAAAACATTAAAATTCCCATTGGAGGGATCATAATCTGCAGCCATGCTACTGAAAAACTATCTGGAAGAATGCTATACATATGCCTGGGTTGAACAATAAATATTTTTTGGTGACATCATGGGTTGCCATGTAAGTGCTTCTTGGTGACATGGTGCGTTGCTTCATCAATATACTCTCATGGCTTATGGGTAAAGGTGTACGAAAAAAAATCAACTAGCAAAATATTAGGTACTGTTCTATTATCGGGACCGGATTAACAAATGTATGCATGTACACATATATGCATATGTGTATACACATACATTCGTACTTACATATTTGAACACATACATCCATATATACATGCATACATATCTACATTTCTGAATTAGGTCCTGATAAAAGAACAGTGCCAAAAGATTATACAGAAATAGATAAATTATGTGTTTAATAGATAATACAGTGGCTATTAAAATAGTGCCCTCACCAACCAGTTAAAAATCCTTTATTTACTTCAACACAGCCTCTTTCTGCTCAGACATTTATAGATTTAGAAATTTCCTGTCAGGAGAAATCAGTACATTTTAAAGTCCTTGCTACATAATGTAGAGTTTTATAAAATTAACTAAAACATACATAATACAGAGTAATGACACATTTCTATATTTTAAAAAGAAATTAAAAGACATTCATATTTGGAGGACATCAAAATCAAAACATACTGATATGGTAATGAAATGAACTGAAATATAAACAGAACCTTAGTTTTAAAAATGTTATGATACTTCTTTAGTATTGCAGCTTCCATTTTTTTTTTTAAACATCAAGCTGGCATCAGAATTATTGCCAACTTCATGTCTCATGTACACTTTGTTACTGCCCTGCTTCCTCAATTGTTTTTAATATGGCATAAGAAGCATTCCAAGGTCTCACAAAATTTTCCTGCTATATTAACTCTGCAAAGTAAGATATCATGATGATAGTGAAACGTGCCTCTTCAATTTTTATTCCACCACTTAGCGGAAGCTCCACAGTCTTTCTATATTTTATATATGAGCAGCTGTTGTTAGATCAAGAAAATGAAATTTATTGGTCCACAGGAAAATATCTGTAAGCTGGTATTTACCAGTTCTTGTCTTTTATATTCTCATCCAGAAGTTTGAATAAATTGTCACTCCCTCTTATAGATGGTCGACAACTTTTGGCATGAATGTGGATGGCTCTCTATTTAGAAACTGAGCGAGAAAGAATTTTTCAGTTTTTTTTGCATAACTTGTCATATATACAGCATTGTGGAAAAATCATGCCAGTTTTGGTTTTTTGCTGTATGAACTGATTTTCCACTATGTTCAAAAATTTTTCAGGGCCACCTATTCACATATTTGGTTGGCGGATCATATGCAGAGAATACATCTCTCTCGTAAAAATGTTTCAGTGAATAGTCACATTTTTGTAATGTTTCTTTCATTTTATGCTGTTACAAACAGTATTCTGAAACCATTAAACCAGCTGTTAAAGCATATACTTTTCTTTCATTAGCAAATTTTCAAGCTGCACCTATAAATGCTTTCACTGATGTGAAATTTTATTTAATGTTCATTTTTGCATATTCGAATGTGATGTAAAATATGTGCATTTCTTGAAAGAAAGATATAGCAAGCATCTTCCTCACTTCTCAGTAAATTAAGAATTTTAAGATTAAAATATAAATAAAATTCATTAACATATAGAATACTGAGAGCTCTTCTTGTGATGAGAGAATTCTGAGTGGTTATGAATTATTAACATTTGCATGGGAAGAAATATGATCGCATGGTCTCCTCGAAGCTCTTCTCATTATAAGCAAACTGTAAATCATCATTGTTGGGGCTACCAGATGTTTCAGAATAGTTTACATTGGTGATTCATCAAAAATTTTGACAACTTTAAAAAACAGATTCCATAATAATAAGGAAGAAAGAATAGCACATCCTTATGAAAGCTTGGTTTAATTTATTTGATTATAGCACATAAGGGCTATCAACCTAAAACGATGGATGACTTTGTGAAGGACTTTCTGGGGGAAACTGGCTCTTATCTACCCTAGAAAAGCCTGGAATCCATCTTTGAAGTCATTTTTAAGCCTTAAATTGATATTAGCTTTGTATGAAAATACCTTGGCAGCTTCCCAAGGGCTCATTCATATTAAAATTTGAGTGTATTTCAAAAATTTGTTATTTAAATTTACTTTGGGTGCAATATATTTTTCAAAACTATTCAGAACAAACTTATATAACATTAAAAACTCTGAACATGCAAAAACTAAAAAAAAATCTTCCAGTAGAACTTTTGTTTAAATATATTACATGATAGTTTTTCCATCCAAAGATTTATGACTTATGACTTACTTTTTTCTGGTCATTAACTACTAAAGAGTTTTTGCCAGTAGATCGCATTAAAGTGCACTAGGCAAAGATATTTTCAAATAAATGGTACTAGGGAAGTACCAACACCCGTGGGCGAAGAAAATTCAGCTGCGTGAGCAGGCATATCTTAATACTTACGAATCATAAAAATTGTGCGTTTATCATAAAAATTGTGCAGTGGTAAGCAATGGCATTAAATTGAAGCATGTAGGCAGGTTCAGTGAGTTGTATGGCAAATGCAGGTGGTGAGCTCTATATAGCTAGTAAGAGTGCAGGATAAGCAATAGTGAGACCATCATGAAAATGGCGCGAAGCAGTTTTTGAAGCTGTGAATGGCATAAGAGTTCAAAGTCCTTCAGAAGTATGGCAGTAGTTAGATAGGCCGTCGTAAAAAGTTCAAAGTTCGTAGAATCATACGATAAAGTAAAAATTCATACAAAATATTTTAAAAAATGAAATAGTAACATAAAAATCTTGAATAAAAAATTTTCTTGATTAAACATTAGTATAAGATGCAACACAAATAAAAGGATAGAGTCCAATTAGAGTTCAAGTAAATTTTAAAATTAAATTTTACAAGTTATCACCATAACGAATTGTGATGAATTGTCCTTCAAAGATTATGTAAATAATTTATATTTAAACCAGATTCCTTTCAGATATACAATAAAATAATACAAGTTGTCACATTTTTCACAAAATGTTCGTAATTTTAAATTAATTATTCATTTGAATAATATATATAGAGAAACAAATATTATTTTTTTTTCTAATACAATGATGAAATTAAAGCACAAAACACTAATTATTAGATGAAATGTATGGGAAATATTAACAGAATGAATTTAAAACTGAAATCTCATATGTTTCTTAGTGATTTAAAATAAACACAAGAGTATATTGGAAAGCTATACATGTTAAAATGTTAATATTTGGTATGTATTTAGTTAGCATCTGTAGTATTTTCAGAAAAATTTTCTCTGCTTTTGAAATTAATATTGCAGAAACATGTTTCAATTTATGCGCAGAAATTTACTGAGCGTAAGGGGCGTATCTTTGATGTGACATCATCTCACACGTATTCGGATGTCACGTGACCTCCCTGCGCGTTTGGGGATTTAGTGCTGACCCTTGGATGCAAGATAATGCACTTTACGACGATCCGATGCTTCAGTTCAATGACGCATCGCCGTCTGCTTAATGACGTCACTTGACTCACAGAAGTGGGAGAAATAAAGACATTATTATTTCCAACTGGGTTGTGTGTGTGAAAATAGTGACAGCACTGTTTATTATTAATTTAAATAAAAGCTATACTGAACTCTATGAATAATGCCATCTAGTGAATGTGCCGTAGCTACATGTAATAATTATTATGCAAAAACCAAAGGAAAGGGAGTATGTTATCACAGGTTTCCCAAAAACAAAAAAATCGTAGACCATTGGATAGCTGCTTGTAAGCGAGAAGATGAATTTAAAATTGAAAATGCGACTATTTGCTCAATTCATTTTAAAGACGAGGATTATCAAAGGGATTTACGAAATGAACTTTTGGGAATACCGCTTCGAAAATTTTTAAAAGAAGATGCTATACCGACTATAAATTTACCTAATGTTCAAAAAAGAAAATTATCTGAACGTCATGAACGACAAGGAAAGCGTCAAAGAAAACCAGAAATAAAGCCTTTATTAGAAAAATCTCCAGCATTTATTGACAATGATGATGATGATGACAATAATAGGCAAGAAGAATCAGTTATGTCTTTAAAATATGATCAGCTTTTACAAGAAATAAAACGGCTGAAAGCTAAAAATAATAGCTTACGAAATGATAATTGCATTCTTTTGAAAACGCTTAAAACTCAGAATGAATCTCTAAAAAAAGAAAATTTGCTTCTGAAACAAAGTTTAGAAAAATGCCGTCGATTAATCAAGAAGCATGCTAAAGAGAAATTAGAATTTACCAAAAGCATTCTTTCAAAAATTTTTACACCAGGTCAAATAAAGATATTATTAGGTGCTAAGCGAGTTGTATGGAACTCAAAAGATTTTGTTGCTGCTATAGCTTTAAGAACTGTATCTCGAAAGGCATATATTTATTTAAAAAATCAAATGAAAATTCCACTACCAGGACTGTCAACTCTACGAAAGTGGGAAAGCAAATTGTCTTTTCAACGAGGCTTGCAGTCAGTAGCATTAGAATTAGTGAACAATAAAGGAAAAGAATTAACTGAAGGTGAAAAAGTTTACGTTATTTCTTTCGATGGAATGAATATTTCATCCAAGCTCTGCCATGAGTTCTAATTCAACCTTAACAGTTTGCAATGGTTTTTATGGTTAGAGGATTATTGACCTCCTATTATAGTCTTTACATTAAAAATTATAATATGGAATCTGTTTTGCAATCAGAAGTGATTCCTTAATCATAAGTGTGCAGTAGAAATATTTACGATTTTGCCAAGGTATCTCCTGTAATCAGGGTGTTATGGAATCATTTACTTTCCAGTGATCTTATAATTAATGGACATCAAATAAACATGATTTAGAGAATATTTAATCCCAAAACAAACATTTTTGGTTTTCTTTTAGAAGCCAAAAATGTTTGTTTTTGATCTAGATCAATCAAAATAAGAGAGCTTTAACATTTACTTAACCCTCTGAGTGGCACAGGTTTTTTTTTTTTTTTTGATCTGCTCATGAAGACTGTTATATTGAACTTATTATATTGAAACTGCATTTAGTAGCTAAATTTGTATAATTACTTATTTTTGTAAACTTCTATTCATTAAGATGGTATTTACATCATTAAAGAAAGTAAAAGAAAATATTTTAAATTATAAACTAGTCCATACCGAGAGGAAAAAATCTTGTGATTGGATAAAGGCAGTCATGCCACTTGTGGTTAAAGAACACAAATCATAATATCAGAAAATGGGAAATCAATAAATCTTCCTAATGTAATCAGTGTTGATTATCAGATCAGATGCTGTCATGATCATTCTTTCGATTTTTCTTCAGCTTTGTTCCAATTTCTTTATCAAAATAATAGTGTGAATTAAGATTTCTTTGAATATTTCTTCTGTATTAATCAAAATCTATTCAACTTTAGGTAATGATTTTAATTCCAACTTCATCTTATCAAAACATTTTCACCCTTTGCAGTAAATACCTACCATCTTTTAATGGCATTAAAAATTTGTTGTCAAAGTTGAATGCTGCTTTTTCGTGACATGATTTTGCTCTGTGAGCATGTATATGAGTTTATGAATGAAAGATAACCATAAATATACTTTTATTAACTCTTTCAAGTATTTCTACTAAAAAATGTTGCAGCTTTTGTATGGAGATTAATTTCATTTTACCAGCATTTGAGTATTCGGTATACATTTCAGTATGTTGATTGAACGATTTGTTTTTGTCAGTTTTATTTACCAGAAAGCTTATTTAAGATATTCTTTGATTACTATGCTTTTAACTCTTTAATATTTGACAGGTGTATTTTATTTGCTTATATTTGCTATTTTCAGAATGGGGGGAAAAAATTCCTGTATATGTAAATGATACTGACTGTAGCCATGAAAGTTACTTAGTGAAGTAACTACTTCCTTAAAATATATTAAGACCAAATTTAAAAACAATGTGCAAAACTTTCCTAGGAGACAATATAAACAATCAAGGTGGTGGTTAACTATCCATTCTGATCATGTTTGAAGTACAGCTAAGATGGAAACTTGTTATTCATGATTGATGCTGTAGAGCAGAGTTTCTTAAGGGGGTCGCGGGACCTGCAGCAGGGGTTCACCAAAAAAATTTTAATGTTTAATATTTCTTTAACTTATTATAATAATTTTACAATTACCAAATATTTTTACACGATGTATCTGAAAATAAAGATAAGACAGAAAAACGAGAACGTTTTGATGCATTCTTTTCATGATATAAATGTTCACTTTACCTGCTTTGCACGTGATGCTGTCGTTTCATCTGTTATTTAAAATTTTCACATTGTTCTATGTCTTAAAATTAGAAATTAAAGTTAATAACTTAAAATTTCAATAGTATATTACAGTAGAAGTATAAAAATTGACAGTTTCACTCACGCATGTGTTGGACTTGTGCAATGGTGTCCCACAAAAGTTTTGTAAATATTATGGGGTCCTGGGGTTACAAAAAAAATCTTGGTGATAAAAAGGTGTCGCGACTGTAAAAAGTTTAAGAAGCCCTGCTGTAGAGGAAATGGAGATGGAAAATATTAAACAGTACTGTATATCATTTCTTCTTTCTTCTTCCCATCTGGGTGTATGATGACTGCCACATGTCTGTCCTAACTAAAGTGTAAGCATGGTATCGAATGAATAATTTATGTCACCATTTTGATTATTTGTCTTTGTAGCAGGCATAAATGATATGAAATGAGATACAGAATTGTACTTAAGTTATTTGTCTAATATCATTCTTCATAATCATGGATCACCCTATAAACTTCCACATTTTTCAGATGTGAAATTGAAATATTTCTTTCAGCTGTCAAACTTGAGCAAACCTGAAAATATTCAGTTAAACATATGCCATTGTGTGGTTCACTTGCTTTGGAGGTCATGAGCTGCCACTGGTGTTAGGAAAAATTTGTGTGGCCCAAAATATCATATCCTTTTAAAATGTGGTTCAAGGAAGCTAAACACCTGTGCTGTAGAGGAAGTGGAGATGAGAGATATTAAACAGTATTTTGTATCTTACCTTCTTTCTTCTTGTCATCAATGCATTATTATTGGTGACTGCCTTATGTCCATGCTAACTACAATTTGAGCATGATCAGAAATGAATAATTTTGTTGCCCTTTTGATTATTGTATTTGGTAATGCAGCAGAAATGTAGCTTATAAGACTAGCATAAAGTATGATACCGAATAAAAGTAAAATGATTTGTCTAATAATCTTGATGGAAATACAGTAACGACATAATTATAGATCATCCTATTTGTGTATAAATTTTAATTTGAGCATTTTTGCACTTGTCATAATTTATCCACATTTTTGGTAGATTAAATATGTAACCATATTTTTAAAATTTATTTTCAGTATTTTAATTCAAAATTACATCTTTTAGTTTCAGAAATAGTTAGAAAAGTTGAAAGTCAGGAATTAGAAGAGAGACTGAATGAGCAGCGTAAAGCAGTTAGTTATATTTTATATTTATGTCAAATATAAGTTTTATTTCTTTTGATGATTACTATTTATATTGTTTATTTAAATGGATTTTTAATGGCATAATAGGGTTTACTTAAAAATATATATCATTCTGCTGAATTTTTGTTTGTGATTTGTGTAAATTAGTAATAGTTTTATTCAAATGTCCCCATCTTTTTTTTTAACAATACAGTCAAAAGTCGTTAATTCGGACACCCATAATCCGGAATGATCTGTAATCCAGACCTCAAAGCTACAAACTTTCTGTGCATGCGTCGCGTTGAGGCATGCGCATAGGCATTTACGCGTGCGCGTAAGACCTTTACGGCTGCGAATATGCGTGCGCGCATGCACATAATACGTTTACGAATGCGCATTTAATGTATAACGGATGGTAAGCTAAAAAATTAATTCGATGTTGCTTTCTTGGATCCGGCTATTATTTTTGCAGACTTTTAGAGCAATTTTATAAAGTAAGCTTGACTTTCGATATGTCAATAGAATTTCCAATATATATTACTAATATGTAATCTATGGTGATCTTTACATTATGGTAACTTGGCGATTTTTTGGCGAAAATTTGGCGACCAACTCTCCTACAGCAACCCTCTATTTTTTTTTCCCCGCCGCCATTTTGTCTTCACGAAGTAAAGACATGTTTCTTTTCTTTTTATCTACTGAACACTTCTTCCAACAATCTACTAGCCGAATTACACTTATGCTAGAAATTTTATCTAACAAAACTGCTTAATCATGACAAATATTCACTGCAAAATTGGGAAAAAGTGCACAATACCATACTCCTTACGCGTTTTTCAAAATAACACATACACATAAACCATGTACACGCCGACTTATTTTTACTTAAAAAAACATCCCAGAATTGCACAAAAATGGCATTGCGCACACTCTTCACTATATCCATGTACACTGCTTTTTTCTCATAAATTAGAAAAATTTCACGAAAATACATGACAATTTTCTCAATCTTTAAACCCGGTAAAAAGAACATATATGAAATTACCTGATCGCGAAAAAGTATTTACCCTTTTCCAAATATGAACATTTCCACATATAAAATAAATAAAATATCCAAAAACTTTTACCTCTAAATCATCTATTACATTATACACGTCACCAACGAATTCATACCGCAAGCATTACAAATACTTAGTTATCAAATATTTAAATTATTTCCATGCACGTTTACTTCAACTTAAACGTATACCAAATTCCTACAAACATAAAATTCACAAAATAACTATCATTTAATTAAAATATCACTAAACCATGTACACGTCGACTTATTTTTACTTAAAAAAATCCCAGAATTGCAGAAAAATGGCATTGCGCACACTCTTCACTATATCCATGTACACTGCTTTTTCTCATAAATTAGAAAAATTCACGAAAATACATGACAATTTTCTCAATCTTTAAACCCGGTAAAAAGAACATATATGAAATTACCTGATCGCGAAAAAGTATTTACCCTTTCCAAATATGAACATTTCCACATATAAAATAAATAAAATATCCAAAAACTTTTACCTCTAAATCATCTATTACATTATACACGTCACCAACGAATTCATACCGCAAGCATTACAAATACTTAGTATCAAATATTTAAATTATTTCCATGCACGTTTACTTCAACTTAAACGTATACCAAATTCCTACAAACATAAAATTCACAAAATAACTATCATTTAATTAAAATATCACTAAACCATGTACACGCCGACTTATTTTACTTAAAAAAAATCCCAGAATTGCACAAAAATGGCATTGCGCACACTCTTCACTATATCCATGTACACTGCTTTTTTCTCATAAATTAGAAAAATTTCACGAAAATACATGACAATTTTCTCAATCTTTAAACCCGGTAAAAAGAACATATATGAAATTACCTGATCGCGAAAAAGTATTTACCTTTCCAAATATGAACATTTCCACATATAAAATAAATAAAATATCCAAAAACTTTTACCTCTAAATCATCTATTACATTATACACGTCACCAACGAATTCATACCGCAAGCATTACAAATACTTAGTATCAAATATTTAAATTATTTCCATGCACGTTTACTTCAACTAAACGTATACCAAATTCCTACAAACATAAAATTCACAAAATAACTATCATTTCAATTAAAATATAATTAAATTCAAAAACACTACTTAAAATATAAATGAGCACATACATTAAATTAATAAAAATTACCTTACAATCCTAATTACTTTAAACTAAATCATTGCTAATAACAATTTTCCCAATAATACCAAATTCCTTTACTTCACCTTACATTTAGAACAATGCATAAAAATAATATCCTCAAATAATTAAAAATACTAACTTAATTCTTCTTCAGAATCTTGATTACGTGGCGGATAACTTTTCTAATTCATTCAATAAAATTTATTCAAAGATTTTTTCTGCAGGTAAAATTTTTCCTCCATACTTCCTCTGCTAAATAAAAGCAAACTTCTCTTTATCAATGCCTAAATACCCATTTCGAATTCACTTTAGTTAAGGCCATGGGATCCAAAAATTACACAACACTGTTTCACACAACACAGAATAAAGCCAAATACAAAATTTCCACATTTTTTCCCGATTTCCCCCCTTTTCCGATTAAAGAACCGTAATTCGTCCATTAATATCACATGACTTATCCCATGATCTCTCATTTCCCTCACGCAAAATAATGCGTAATCGGAACTGAGTACTGCTCACATTATTACCAAAGTCCCAGGTAGTAACCTTTATCGCCTCCAAAATGTCGCCAAACTACCAGTTACTATATTGTAAAGATCAACCGGATCTACAAAGCGAAAGTATGTTTCGAAGTCTATTAAACAGAAAGTGGAATTACTGCAAAAAATGGATAAAGGCATATCCTTTGATTATCTAATCATTCCGATATATGTTTATCAATTTCACGCTGCTCTGCGGGGGGAGGGAAACGATGCGGCGCGCAATGAATTGGAAGTTGATCTGTCAGCACTATATCCTTATCTTCAGGGCAGATGTTGTTTTTACTTTATTGGCTTATAATTCTTTACTGAATGTAGTATTTCATCTCGATGTACTCCGTCTGATATGATTTAAATCAAGTTCCTCCTCATTATAATTCGCTCCGATGTGAAGAAAGTGACACGGAGGTTATTGAAAACGAAAAAATTTCGATTGACAAATTAGTCGGTATTTTCGACACAGCAATTATAGGACTTAAACAGCGGAACTTTGTAACTAAACAAGAAATTATGTCTGTTTAATAGAATTAAAGAGAAAGTATTATCGCATGAAACGAAGCAACTTAAACAACTTACATTGAAAGAAATGTTTAATAAAGTGAACAAATAAATATTAAGCTTTTTCTTTTTGTAAAATTTGATACCCTTTAGATGATAATTGTTCTTTATATCATAAATTATGGTTTCATATTTTTAAATTTATAATTTCTGTATGCCATCCTACCAGATTTAAACTGATGATCTATAATTTGGAATCGCCGAAGTCCCGAGTCCGCATTAACGACTTTTGTAGCAGCATAAGTTCTTAGGGCAAAATTGGTCCAGAAAAAATTTAGATTAAATGGACAAAAACACTTTTTCTGGCTGAATGAGCCAGTAAAAAGTGTAATTAATAAGTAATCAAGAAATGTGGAGAAAAAGTAAATAGCTCATATTAAAATTTAAGGTACTTTTCCGTTTTGCCGGCGCAAACGATAAAGTCGCCAATGATGGTTTAACTGATGCCAGACGGAATATCTTAGCTGGTAACCTTTTACGCTCAGTTTCAAACAAGTTGAAGCCATTTCTTATCAGATTGTTTTTCTTTCAATACTGGCATACAATATATAGAATTTTTACACGATATTTAAATTTTATCCCCTAAGACAATTCACGGTAATAAGTCAATTAGTTCTAAGTCAATTAGAACGCAATTACACCGCTCATCCGAAGGCGAAATCAAGTGTTAAATTCATCAATTCTAATGAGAATGCACTAGCGAAGTAAAGCACTGCGGTTTTACATAATTTCTGAGTAAGCTATTCGTACGAATTGAAATAATTCTTGCATTTAAACTAATTAATTTAAACTAATTAATCCAAATTAAGATTTAACTTGAAATTAATGTAGATAATTACTGAGCGAATTAGATTTTAGTAGCGTAGTTTACGTGAGATGAGATCACTTGGGGTCACGTGATACGAACCGGCGAATCAGGATATTGAACCATGAAATCATAGTAAATTCTTAAATTAATGTCTTTTTACAAATTTATTGTCTTTATTTATTGGCTTTTTACAAAATTTTAAACCATATTAAAATGTTTATGCCTTCAAAATAAAAAAAAATTCTTAGAATTAACATTTTTTATGTGTATTCTGTATGTTGTCGCCAACAAAGTCTGCTTGGCGAGATTTGCGCCGGCGAAACGGAAAAGTACCAAATTTAATTTCTTTAAATATGAAGTTTTGACATTTAGTAAAAACATGAAAACAATACTAATTTTTTTTTTCCTATTGTATATATAGCATTTGCTTCTAATGTATATATAGCTGTCATATAGCAATGTTCGTTACAGAAAACTTATCATGGACAGTCATCATTCAAAAAATATCTGCATAATTCCGAAAAAGTAATAAATACTTTTTATCTGTTACTACTTTATGCTTTTTCTAAATAATCTGGCCATGAAACAAATTTTTCTTTTTGAAAATTTTTCCTTGTGGGATATATATATAAAACTTAACTTTCAGATATTTTTGCTAAAAATATCAGTTTGAAGACTTACCTATTCATTCATTTCTTAAAATTGTTTCCAGTGGCCAAATGGGTAAAATAATTAAGCTTGGTAGTTGAGCTGCTGGTAAATAAGCTGGCAGCACCTCTCCCAGTTTTTCTCTTAATGCAGTATGAATATGATTTAATTTCCCTCAGAAAATCTTTTACAAAGGCATCTTCTCTAAAGTAGCTGGTTCTTACATGCTTTTTTGAGTGAATTAATGTATGTATTATGAATTTGCAGATACTTCATTTATTTCTTTCGTACATTGTCTCACAGAACCATGTCAGAGAGCCATAAAAAATGATGACTATTTTTTTGTCATTGTATGTGATGTTCGTACTGTATATGGCTGAATGACTCACAGAAATGGCACTTGTAAAATCAGAAGGAATTGACAGTAATTAAAAATTTAATAGTTTATTTAATTAATGAATGGAATTCTTTTCATTTATGAATTCTTAATTATTTGTATTTTAATATTTAAAAATAACATTTTAGTGGTAAGAAATTTATTTAGTTACCTAAGAGATAACTAAATAAATTTTGGATAACTAACTAATCTAGGAGATAACTAAATAAATCTCTTGGATAACTATCTAATCTAGGAGATAACTAAATAATAAATAAATCTCTTAGATAACTAACTAAATGCAGTAGAACATCATTACCAAAAATCACTTCTTAATGCTTGTAAACCAATTAGCATATTTGACGGCATATAAGACGCACTTTTTTTTCTAAATTTGGTCTCAAAAAGTTATCTGCGTCTTATACGTGAAGGACACAGGTTAACTTTCAATACTGAATGCTATTTTTAGCCCAGATAAAGGTCTAGACACATATAACTTTTCATACATCTGCCATAATTAATTTGCGCGTGCGTGAAATATCTGTCGCCAAAAAGCGCCAAAGCTCGAAGCTGATGTCGACGTTCTAACAGGTTCGACGGTCACACTACGTCTATGGAGCCTTTCCTTCTTTACATAGACTTTCTTTGACTCAGCTGACACACGTGTCGGTATCGGTGCTACTCTGTATAAACGTGTCGGTATCGGTGCTTAAAACTATTTGTTTAAAAAGAATACCCTGGAAAATATGACTACAGGAAACAAGAGATTAAGCTATATAATTCAATATAGACTAGGAGTGTTAAACTGTGCCAAAGTGCATGGAAACGGAGCAGCAGCAAGGCATTTCGGTCCACCACTACCGGAAAAATGATACGTACTTGGCAACTGCAGGAAGATCAACTGAAGACTGCCTAAAAAACAAAAACATAACCTTCGAATGCCCAGCTCCATCTTGGCCTGAACATTGAAAATGTCGTAAAAATGTCGGGTGACAGATAAGAGGAAATCTGGGATAAGTGTTTCAACCGAAATGATAATCAATGAGGCCAAAGAATTTGCAGAAAAACATGGGACTCAGAACTTTTCAGGGTCTGAGGGCTGGTGCTACAGGTTCATGAAAAGGCAAGGCTTATCAATGCGCACAAAAACAACTATTGCACAGAAAATGCCAGCAGATTGTGAAAAAAAAAATACTAACATTTCATAGGTTTGTTATAAATGCACGCAAGAAAACTACTTTTGGAGCTCGGTCAGAAATTCCACTCACATTTGATGTACCATCCAACAAGACTGTGAGTATTAAAGGGTCTAAATCAATAACCTAAAAACCACAGGTCATGAAAAAACCCGATATACGGTAGTTCTAACATGTTGTGCTGATGGCACAAAACTACCGCTGTTTTTCATATTCAAAAGAAAAACTCATCCGAAAGAAAAACTTCCAACGGGTGTAATTGTTCATGTTCATCCGGAAGGCTGGATGGACGAAGCTGGAATGAAACTGTGGTTGCAGAACGTATGGGCGAGGCAACCTGGTGGACTCTTAAGAAAACCCTCTCTTTTGGTTTTGGATCAGTTTAGTGCCCATAGAACTGAAACTATAAAGAATAAAGCGAGAGAATTAAAAACCCAGATAGCTGTCATTCCTAGTGGACTGACTAGCCAATTGTTGCCTTTAGATGTATCGGTGAATAAGCCATTTAAGGAAAAAGTGCGAGAACGATGAAACAAGTGGATTGGAGAGCCACATCACACCCTCAGGTAGAATGAAGCGGCCCTCTATTTCACAAGTGTGCAAGTGGATAAACAGATCTTGGGAGGACGTAAAGGCTGAAGTAATTGTTAAGTCCTTTAAGAAGTTTGGAATCAGTAATGCTCTTGACGGAACAGAAGACGACGCATTATTCCAAGAAGGTGGTACTAGCGATGACGGAAACAGTAGTGATGACGATATTCTCATGGTCATCATCGTTTTCGATGATGATGATAGTGAAAAGGATTTTTATGATTTTGAAAGTGATTAAAGTTTAACCCTCTCAACGTTATGGCCGGATAATTTCGCATAGAAGGCTGCCTTCCATATTCATTATACATGAAAATTTCTGCTAGTTTTTAATGTATTTGATTTTGGTTTGGGTGTATATTGGAAGAAAAGGAATCAAGGTACAAAATGAGAGTTTCATTTTTTAATTAAAATCAAGAAAATACCACTTATTCATGACATTTTGAGGAACTTTGAAATTTCAGGGCTAAACCCGTAATGCTTGGAGGGTTAATTTCACGGTAGGCAACGTTTTCCTTGAATCTGTGTTTTTTGTTGTTTCTGCTTTATTTTGTATTATGTATTATTGCTTGCCATTCATTCATTTATTCATTATTGGAATTTACATATCATGTTCAAAATAGCTTGCCGTTTGTTAATTTTCCTTAATAAAAATATGTTTGGCAATTGTATTCAACAATTGTTTATTTGGCTTTTACGAAACGTGAAAACTAAAAGAAACCACATTTTAAGTTATTGTGGTACTGTGCTGTCGCACGAACTATTGAAACTTTTTTTCCTTGTGTGTGGCCTTCTAAATAAGGGTGTGTCTTATATGCCGTCAAATACGGTAGTACCAAATGCTGTTTTCAAGTACTTTTCTAAAGTCAAACATTATGTGAAACACAAACTATCTGCTTTAAATTTTTTTATTTATATATTCTAATAAATAACAAATAAATGTCTTTTGTTTTGCTAATCATGTAAATAAGTTAAAAACAATTTCTGTGTGTTGCTAGAAATAATATAGTATAATCGTGTATAGTACCTATTGTAAATGTTTGTTAATTTTTAATTTTAGGTACAAGTTAGTAAAAGCAACGATCCAACTGTGATAGAAAAGGAGCAGGAATCCTATGGTATATTTTTTCTGTATCCTTAAATAATGATGTGCTGTGAATTTAGAGGGTGATCTGTATTTTAGATGCTATTAATTCTCTCCCTGCGTATCTCCCGATTTTAGCTCAATGTAGAAGTAGCAAAATTTGTGCAACCCGCGATTCTGGCGGGGATGCATTTTTCCCATCTATTTAACTTTGCAATTCACTTCTTTTCCCATTCATGATTTCATTTCGACTTTTCTATGATGTTTAATTGTTTATTCAGATCAGGGTTAACAGATGCCATTAGTTGTCCATATTTCTGCAAAATATACAAGCATGTTTTGTACCATTTTGTGTGCTGTTTTCAAAGCTCAAAGATGTGTGGCAGGGAGCGTTTCACAGAGTGATATAATCTACATTTCTGACAATATTTCCGACACTGGTATCAGTTCTGACTCTGATTTCAAGTATTTTGGAGGAAGTTTATAGCAAAACTGATAACAATTTCTCAGATTCCTCTGGGGATACTGAATTTGAAGATCCACTTGCTATTCAAAACGTCCCACAGTGGTTCAAAATTCATATGCAAAATATTCCACTATCTCCTCCTTCATTTCCTTTTCTTGGCAATCACTGTAGAATGCTTATATCCTTTATAAAAAGGATAACTCCTTGCAAAATATAATGCTCCTAGAGTTCCGTTTGCAAATTATTAAGCTAAGCATTCAGAAGTATTCAGATAGAAATTCCGGTATTTACCCTGGTAAATGTAGTTCAACTCGCAATCCCATGAGACTTAACTGCTCAACATTTTGCTAGCCATATACCCCTCCCACAATGCTATCAAGAAAGAGCCCCGTAGAGAATCTGTTATTTGTTGCTAAAAAAAATTGAAACTAGCAAAGAAACGCGAATTTGGCGTAGAGATTGTGAGGTTAAAATTTTGCCTCAAGCCTTGTTTCGAAATTTATCATACTAAACTTCATATCTAAAAAATGTTTTCTAAGTATTTTGCAAATTTTCATTAATATATATATACAGTCAAAGGTTGTTAATCCGGACTTGTCGGGACTTCGGCGATTCTGGATTATCGATTTCTCCGGATTATAGATCATCAATTTAAATCTGGTAAGATGGCATGTAGAAATTATAAAATAAAAATATGAAACCATATTTTATGAAATTAAAAACAATTATGATCTAAAGGGTATCAAAATTTACAAAAAAAAAAAAAAAAGCTTAATATTTATCTGTTTACTTTATTAAACATTTCTTTCAATGTAAGTTGTTTAAGTTGCTTCACTTTATGTGATAATGCTTTCTCTTTAATTCTATAAACAGACATAATTTCTTGTTCAGTTATAAAGTTCCGCAGTTCAAGTCCTATAATTGCTGTGTCGAGAATGCCGACTAATTTGTCAATCAAAATATTTTTGTTTTCAATAACCTCTGTGTCACTTTCTTCACTATTGGAAGCGAATTATAATGATGAGGAATTTGATTTAAATCATATCAAAGACGGAGTACATCGAGATGAAGTACTATATTTAGTAAGGAATTATAAGCCAAATAAAATAAAAACATCTGCTCTGAAGATAAGGATAGTGCTGACAGATCAACTTCCAATTCATTGCGCCCCCCCCCCTTCAGAGCAGCTTGAGATTGATAAACAAATTTCAGAATGGTTAGAGAAACAAAGGATATGCCTTTGTCCATTTTTCGCAGCAATTCCACTTTTTGTTTAATGGACATCGAAATATACTTTCGCTTTGTAGATCCTTTGGGAGCTCCATCATCGGAAATTCTATTTGACATAATCAAAAGTTCAAGCTTACTTTTCTAAAATTGCTCTAACAGTCTGCAAAAAATAATAAGCCAGATCCAATTCGAAGATTAAGGAACAACGCAATCTGCAACACTAACTGAAATAGATAACTAGATAATTTTAGCTTATACCGTCCGTTATACATTAAACGCACATGTATAAACATAGTATGAGCATGCGTAATGCATATGCGCGTGCGTAAAGTTATGTGCATGCGTAAAGGTATCATGCGCATGCATAAATGCATATGCGTAAATGCATTATGCATTTACGCATGCTCAGAAAGTTTGTAGCTTTGAGGTCCGGATTATGGACGTCTGGTATTTATTATTTTTGAGATAGAAAAATGTTTATTTATTTGTTAGTAATTCACTTCTGTGTTAAAATTATGGAAAAATCATTTAGGAAAATTCAGTTCTGAAAAAAGTATTAAAAACAAATAGCAAATTTGTTTAATGTGTCATAAACTTTAGACTCGATATTAAATTGTAGACTTCTGAAGATAAAAATTATTAAGATATAATTATTGTAGTTTTCTTAAAAAAATTGTTCTAATCAAGAAATTTTTTTTGCTTATTAATTTTTAATTTTGTTGTTAAATATATTTTTTACATTTTTTTAAATAAAATCTTATCGTTTTTGTGAAATATCAATAGAGGAAAAATATTTCTTCTCCATTCAGTTTTATTCCTATGAAAACATTTATGTTTTCTTTTTACCTACATAGGATGCATGATCTTGCATAGAATATATTATTATAAGATGTATTATGACATATATAGTAATTTTTTCCTAATGTGCAGATATAACAATCCATATCTGGGGCATAAAATTATAATTAAATAATTTAAATACTGAAAGATGATCATAGCATTTTAATATTTTCTTAAATTAAAAATAAATTAAAAACATCTTTCTTCTGTTATTCTTATGACTGGTAGCTAAGATTTAAAGCAAATTTTTTAATTTTATATAGTGATCTAGAATGATGAAATAGAGAAGTAATTTGTTTGTATTGCAATGTTTTGTTCATGCAGATTGCATTTTACATATATGCATAAATAGTTAAAAGAAATATCAAGCATTTTTTCTTTTTTAGTAAAACAGCACCAGTTTCTGTTTAAATTACTCACAAAAGATGTTCGACCAAGAGAAAATAGTAAGTATTTCTTCTCTCTTCATCCTTTTTTTGTACCTTATTATGTCATTTTTTATATTATGTGTCTTATGTAGCATTTATAAGTGCTTGTTGGTTCAAATGTATGTCTAATTGCCTAATTATGCAAAAAAAAAAAAAAAAAAATGAGAAATTAATTTTTAAAAAATCATGTTAAATTTTATGTTCATTATATGTGATGTGAAGATTTAATGAGATTTTTTAATTCATTGTTTCCAAATATATAACTTTTCTTAATTTTTATGAATCATGACATAAAAAATATATTAATGGTTCAGTAATAATTTGGATAAATTAAAGGAAAGTGTGCATGGGCCTATTCGACTCAACACGTGTTCTCGCGTTACTATTTTATTAGGACGAACATGCTGCTTGGTTAAATATGTTTTTTACATTTTTCTCAAAAGTTGCCAAACTTAATATGCTGGTCTGTCAAACCATGACTAACAAGATTTACTCAGGAAATCATGTCTGAAAATGTGAATGGTGCCCACTAGAAGACAGTGTTCACAGGCTTATGGAAGAGTGTGAAGTGTGATTATTTCAGGGGGGGAGCATTGCAGAAAAGGATGAATTGGTTTCTTAACTCAGATCTTTATGGATATTTTGGGGAGTGTTGCTGGATCTGATGGTTGACATCCCAGCAGCTACATGCCGCAGCATGATGGAGCGGCTGTACATTTTAGCAGCACAGTGCAGGAATACATCAACAGGACATATCTTGATCGCTGTATTGACAGAGACTAACCAATCACATGGCCAAAGCGATCTCCCAGCATGGCTCCTCTGGATTTCTGCCTGTGAGGATACATAAAGTCCATGGTGTACAAGACGACTGTAACTTCGGACATGGATCTCCTTGCCAGGCTCTTGCAGCACATGTCCATGACACACCTGCTGATTTTGAACGGGTCTGTGAATCCATGCATCAACATTGTGAAGCATACATTGTGGCAAATGGAAGGAATTTTGAATATCTTCTCTAATTTAACTGTGTTCTGTAATAAAAATATTAACACCTCTTTTGATATCCTTTCTTTCTTTCCCTCTTCCAAACACTGCCCTCTAGCGGTTGCCATTTGCATTTTAGGACTCTTTTGTAAATCTTGTTTGTCACGGTATGGTAGACAAGTATATTAAGTTTAGTAACAACTTTTCAAGACACCCTGTATAGTACACACTGAGCAAATTTGAACTAATGTGGTCAAAATTGAGTAAACTCAAAAATTTTCATTGAAACATGTGCAGTTGTTTGGTTTACTTATTTTAAAGGTCACAAGCTGCCATTGATGTTAGAAATAATTTGTATAGTCCAAAATATCTTGTCTTCTTCCAGTGTGGCCCAAAGAAGCTAAGAGGTTGGATACTTGTGCTGTAGAGGAAGTGGAGGTGGGAGAAATTGAATAATATCGTGCATCTTCCTGTTCTTTTCTTGCTTTCTGTGCAGTGTTGTTGGTGACTGCCATCCAGGGCCAGATTTAAACTTGATGAGGCCCTAAGCTATTTGAAATATGGGGCCCTTTATAAGTTTGTTATGCTACATTTTAATACTATATTTAAAATTTTTTGGGGACCTACCCTTAAGAAAGGGGGAGCCCTAAGCTACAGCTTTGGTATAGCTTATACATAAATCTTGCACTGCTGCCATATGTCCAACCTAGCTACAATTCGAGCATGATAAAAAAAAAATAAATGTGTCACCATTTTGATTATTATACAGCACAAAGTCCGAAATCCGGACTGGTCGGGACCTCGGCGATTCCGGATTTGGGATTTTTCCGGATAATAGATCATCAATTTAAATCTGGTAAGGTGGCATGCAGAAATTATACAATTAAAAATATGAAATCGTAATTTATGAAATAAAGAACAATTATGATCTAAAGGGTATCAAAATTGACCAAATAAAGCTTAATATTTATTTGTTTACTTTATTAAACATTTCTTTCAATGTAAGTTGTTTAAGATGCTTCTGCAAAAAAAATTCAAAAAGTTCTTTTTTTGTTTTTCTTCTGTCATATACAGTGGACTTTCCAATGTTATACTCTTCCCTTAATTTTGAGACGAATATGTCTTTATCCATTTTTTGCAGCAATTCCACTTTTTGTTTAATGGACATCGAAACATGGTTTCGCTTTGTTGATCCTTTGGCAACTCCAGAAATGGAAACTCTTTTTGACATAATCGAAAGTTCAAGCTTGGTTTTTATAAAATTGCCTTAATAATAACAGTCTTCAAAAAATAAGCTGGATCAAATTAGAAGATCAGGGAGCAGTGCAGTCTGCTACATTAATTGAAATGCCTTAGAATCAGTAAAGATAATTTCAGTCTAGCTTAATAGTGTCCATTATACATTATTGGCTGTGTATCACAAGAGTGGCAATGAAAGCCAGGTTGTTTCGCTAAATTTTGTCTTGCTCCTAATGCATACTGAATTGAGCCTGAATTGTATTAGTTTAGTTGTTTACTATACCTATGTTCTATGCTTGCACATGCTTCAAACTAATCCAAGTCCTGAATAAATAAACTCCTATATATACTTAAAGCTTTATCTAGGGCCGGCACTCGATACTAGTTGGTGCAGTCTCTACGGGTCCTAAAATCTGCTATAAAGTGCTTTCCTAAGTTCTAAATTTTCACTGTGTCTAAACTTTGGATCCCGGTGCTTTCGCTAAATCATAAATACTTCTCATCCCTTAATTTTGCCGCTCGGTGCTTCCCCAAATTCCAAAAATTTCGTCTTCCCTAAATTCTGCCATCCAGATGCCGACATATTCTGCCGTCGCTTCTGGGTTTTATGGTGGAATAACATATCAGTTATTCTTAATTAAAATAGACACTAAATGTAATCTTTTAGCCTATGAGTTTCATTAACAAAATCTATTTTTAGCATATGAAAAGAAATTTTTGTTGAATTTTCTCTCATCAATATTTCTTAGAGTATTTAAAAATCTATAATTATCACCAAGCGTAATGTTAGCATTAAAGGTTGCCATACTCTTGTTATTCAATTACTAATATAAAAAAAGTTTAGACATCACAGCATGAGTTATTACTGAAACTGTCATGTATTGATAAACATGCGGTAATGAAAGCAAAATATACTATAATGACTCGCCAGGTTGGCGTCAGAGATATAAGTATATCAGTATGCAAAGTAGATACTCAGCTACGAAGCCAAATTATTAATCTCACAAATTTATGCTTACATGATTGTTTTTCCATAACGAGATATTTTATTTAGTGCCTAAGTGAAAATCTCCATATGTTTTATTATGGAAGAAAAATCAAATGCGCATGCGTAAAGCAATAAGGAAAAAAAATGTTGGTGGCTTTGAGGTCTGGATTTTAGATCATTCCGGATAATGGACATCCGAATTTTGGACTTTGTACTGTAACAGAAAAGCAGCTCATAAGAATGGCATAAAATAGAGTGCAGAATAACAGTAAAATTATTTGTCTAATATAATTCTTGGCAGTAATTACATTAACAACATATTTATGGATTATCCTATTTGTTTATAAATTCTAATTTGATAATTTTTACACATTTTTAGTAGATTAATTATGAAGCCATGTTTTTTAAATTTTGTTCCAGTATTTATTGAATATTCCAGTATTTATTGAATAGTTTTCTATTTACATCTTTTAGCATCAGAAATAGTGAAAGAAGCTGAATGTCAGGAATTAGAAGAACGGCTGAGTGAACAACTTAAAACAGTTAGTTATATTTTGTATTTATTTATGTGAAATAAACATTTAATTTCTTTTGATGAATATTATTTATATAGTTTATTTTAATTAATTTTTATGGCATAATAGAGTTTACTCAAAATATAATTTTTTTGATTTGTAATATGTATTTAAATTAATAATAGCCTTAATTTTAAATTGGTTAAATGTTTCAGAAATTCAAAAGCTCATGCTATATGATAAAACTGATTCTTTATAAGAGATCTCTTTTGTACTTTTAATGTTATTTCATTCATTTAAGGACATTTGCTGAATTTTAAATTGTGATTACTTAAAATTATTAATCAAGGATGGTCCCCTCTTTTTTTTTTTTTTTTTTTTTTCCCTTAAAGTCCAAGGGGGCAATTTCCCCAGAAGGACTTAATTTTGTTCATTTTGTGTCGATTCACGATAAACCTTGTTTCATTTTTCAAATTGTTGCCACCAAATGTTATCGCTCTGTATTAAATTTAAAGAAATTAAATAATGAAGAATTTGCATGAATGCATCTTTCTCGCATTGTGATAAAACAACGGTACCTAGAGCCATCAAAATTTGAATAACGTAATCTTCCATAGAATATGGGAACGTGGAAGCCCAAATTTTGATTTGTTTTATTATCTATTTTGTATTTTGTAATGCTTCAATGATTTTTTGATAAACAAACTAAATGATTTCAAAGCGAGAAATTGCAACACTGTATGAAAACATGAAGGAAACATTTTTATCTCCAGAGCACGAGACGCTGTATCAGAAATTCTAAAGATAGGCTCATTTTAAAATTATTTTGTGATATTGCTGTTGAACTGAATTTTATGGTTTGAGTATATAGAATGTGATATTTAATAAATAAAGGAACACACAAAACGTTAAAAAAAAGCCCCTTTGGACATGATTTAAAATCTGAAACCTTTCAGTTTTTTTTTTTTTTTTTTTTTTTTTTTTTTTGTAGTTTTAATAATCATAAATTGGCACAGGTTCATGGGGCAAAATTGATTCAATATATGTAAAATAGATCCTAAAAATTTCGATTAATGGATTAAACCTTTTTCCTGGTGGAGAGAACAATCAGTAAGCAGGAAATTAATCAATAAGTAGTCGATGAATGGGGAAGTATAAATAAATAGTTCATATTAAAATTAATTTTTTTTTAAATAGAAAAGTTTTGACATGTAAAAACATGAAAGCAATACTTCTAAATTATTTTTTTCCTAATGTAAAAGCTATCATATTGTAATTTGTTACAGAAAACTCATCATGGACAGTCATCATTTGAAAAATTTCTACATAGTTCCAAAAAATTAATGTGCGGACCTGAGACATAATTTTTTTTAACTAATCTAGTCATGAAACATTTTTCTCATTGAAAATTCTTCTGTATGTGACATACATAAAACTTAGCTTTCATACATTTATTCTAAAAGATATCATGTTGCCTAAAGTTTGAAGACCTACATATTTAATTATTCATTAAATTTGTTTATAGTGGCCAAATGTGTAAAACCATCAAACTTGGTAGTTCATCTGTAGCTCGTTGCACCTCTTCCTGCTTTTCTGTATGTGCAGTATGAATATGAACCAATATCCTTTAGAAAGTCTTTTACAAAGGCATTTATTTGAAAGCAAATGGCTGTCATGTGCTTTTTGAATGAATTAATCAATAAACCAACTTAAGTTATAACTGCAACCATTCAAGTGACATTTGGTCACAAATTTCTTTTCAAACTCATTTATCTAAATGCTTTTCTTCCTTTTGGATGCACAGTTGAAATATGAAATTATGCTATGCATTTTATTCATAAAACAATCTTAAATACATTTTTTTCAATAGAAAATATTAAATACTTTAGAATGTTTCTTGCTAAATCCTTGTACAGTGAAAGCAGATTCTTTTTTATTAATTATTTAAAGGATGAAATGCTATTAAGCTTAGTTAGAGGGTTTAAAAATTGTTTCTATTAATGGGGGCATCTGTATTAGGTTAAATGAAAGGATTTACCTACTTTAATTGATTGTCAATGAAATTCTGCTATTTCATTTGTTCAATTTGTAGCGATTCAATTTTTTGGCTTCGTGGGGCTTTTATGGTTTCTCTGATATTAATATAAATATGAAACAGTTTTCTCTGGAATACAAAGTATGAAATGCTAAACACGTGGACTTGCCTTGAAAGGAAATAAAGGTATTCTTTTCAAGATAACTTCATGTGTTTTCTTGTTATTAGCTAAACAATTAGATCTATCTGTTAACAGATTTTACATCATACCTGTTGCTGTCGTATATCTAAATATGATCTTAACATCATTTTAAATATGAATTTCTTATGATCAGACAGCCTTGTATACCTTTTACAGCCTTATGTAATTTTTGGGCAAAGATTATGCTATATTATTGCATTTTAGTTTGAGGGAGGGTATTTATTTGTTTATTTGTAAGCTTAAATTATAAAAGTTGCAGAATGTTTTGAAAAATGTTATTTAATTTTTATTAACATTTTTCCTGTTTCTTTTAATTTTTTAAATTTTCCTTCTCGTGAATAACTTCTAATAATTTCTTAAATGTTTTGAGTATAAAAATAATAATTGGGGAAATTGTTTTGTTTTTCCCTGCTTCTATTTTGAGCCTAACTTTATGTATGGAGATAGAGGGGTTTCCCCCCCCCCAATTTTTATTACTTTTTAACAGTTATTGAAATGCTGAGTATTTGTTAACAGCAGCAAACAATTAGCAGGACAGCATTTCTTGCAATTGTTCTACAGACATAAATAGTATAGCTGTGATTGTGGCTTTCATAAATTTATTCATCTTGTATCTATAATATCATTTGAGTTCCAGGGTCGTGGACTTGCAGTGAATCAGAAATAAATTAAATACAATACAATGATCCTGGCTGCTGCTGCTTCTTACCAGATTTTTTTAAAACAGTCTCATCGCAAGTCATTTGCATATTGGCCGGTATGCTGCCCCTCTCGATATTTTATTCTTTTTATTAGGATAAATTTAAATTATGTTCACAAAATGTTGATTTTATTACTTACAGAGGTTTTGCTGCATATATTACACGTTTTTCTGACCTTAATATTAGCAGTATACATCCTGCATTTAGAAAAGCAGTGTAATACTGGAGAACAAATGTTTACGTAGGAGAATTGAACATATTTACTGACGGTTCAGGTTATGACAATGGAACTGGTGGAGCATATGGGGTTTACTTGTTTGGTACAGAAATAGACAAAGGCAAAATTAGACTTCAACCTTGACTTGAATTTTGGATCCTGTCGTATCTGCTCTTAAATGGATTGTTTAAAACCTGATTGTAAAAACACATATTAATATATATATATAGTGGTTTTTAAGCACTAGCATATGTTAATAACACTAATATTTTGGTCTCATATATAAAATATCTCTTTTTAAAAGTTGAGGAAATACATGAGGTGAAAACGAACTGGGTGGAATGCCATATTGGTGTTATAGGCAATGAGAAGGCCGACATGCTGGCCAAAGAGGCTGCTATGGGTAATGCTGGAAATGTGCTCAATATTCAAGCATAAAAAAGAATTGTTATTAATAAAATAAACGATTTCAATTGTGATTGCTGGAAAAAAAATGGAACATTTCAGGAAAAAGGAAAGATTATTTGTTGAACTTTGAAGTTTCTAAAAATATGAGAGTGATCTGTGATTTTGATTGCAATCAAAGATTTAATTAGCAAAATAGTAGTCTTTGTAGTTTTTGTAGTGCTGAAGGCAGTGCTCTACAGTTCATCTAAGACTGCATATCATTGCGACATGTTAGGGTAAAACACGGTAACATAAAGGAATGCTACTGCCGCAATAAAGAGTTTAGATTTGCAAAGCATTTGCAACTTTATAAATGGCAATATAACAAATACTGGGAATTTTCGTTTGATGTTTTTAACTGTATTTCTGTTTTAATCTGTGCTTTAATCTTTTATTTTAATTGTTTAACTGTATTTTTGTTTGTGTTGGGTGTGTTGCATTGTGCATGGGGTCAATTGTTGTCGACCAGGAGGGTTGCAGCACACTTGCATATTACATTACATATCTATAACATAAGTAATAAGTAAAAGAATGTTGAAATTTAAAAAATAAAAAAGTAAAAACTAATCAGTTTGTTGGCTGCATTGAAAACGAAAAATATAAATGCACTTATGATTGTTTACCGAATGTAACAATTATTTTAATTTTCATGTTAGGTACTAGCTGTTTTTAATTAAAAATCTGGTAATGATTTTGTAAACGATGCATCACTTAGTAACTTAAAAACGATGTAGTTAATTACTTTGATAGCATCACGGATATTGGTTGTTGTTTTAGTGATTTTTCTCTTCACCATTTAATTGCACATTGGAATATGAAAACTGCCCAATTTTTTATTTTATAAAACTATTATTATTGTATTATGAAACTAATCAAAAGTAATACACTGCAAATGCTTCTACATTGTCTCACAGAAGCATGGTGGAGAACCATTAAAAAAGTTATGATTAATTTTTGGTGATACTGGGCAATGTTTGTAATATGAGTGAATGACCCGTAGAAACGGCCATTGTAAAATTGGAAGAAATTTAAAGGAAATTAAAAATTCAGTAGATTATTAAATTAATGAATGAAATTATTTTCATACATATATCCATAGCTATTTTTTATAATTTATTTTAATATTTAAAAATAGCATTTTAGTTGCACTATGTAAGCAATAAGAAACTAACTAAATGTGATAAAGCGCATAATTACATCATCACTGAACATCTCTTCATAAGCTTATTAACAATAAGTACCAAATGCTGTTCTTAAGTACTTATTTTTCCAGAGTTGAACACAATGATATGAAACACAACTTATCTGCTTTAAAACTGTGACATCATTGTGTTGCTGTTTATATCAATGTGTACATTCTTATCAGTAACAAATAAATGTCTTTTATTTTTTGCTAGTCATGTGAATAAGATAAGAAACAATTTGTATATATTGCGAGAAATAAAGAGAGTGAAATCTCATACAGAATCTACTGTAAGTGTTGATTTTAATTCCAGGTGGAAGTTAATAAAACAAATGATCCAGCTGTGATAGAAAAGGAGCAGGAATCCTATGGTATGTTTGTTTTCTTTATCCTTAAATAATGGGCCCACCAGCGGCCAAGTGATAAAGTCGCTGAGCATTGATAGTTCGAATCCCAGAGAACAGGCTGCTGCATGGGCATTTTCGTGGTTTTACTCATGTGTAATGTGTATGTGAGCCAATTTTCCTTAGAAAGTCCTCCATGAAGGCATTGCTCCCCTTAGGCAGATAGTCATTAAGTCCTTTGTGGTAAACCAAAAACCCGACCAACCTTAAATAATGATATGCTGTGAATTTGCAGTGGGAATGGAGAACTGTACTTCTGATTATATTAAATCATCCATCGTGTTATTTTCCAAAAAATAAAAACGAAAGTCAAAAAGGTTTTTATTATTAATCCTAGATATTCTCAGAAGTATAAAATTTTTCTCCTAATTAGTGTTGAAAATAAAAAAATTCTGTAAAATAATTTATTTTTATTTTCTAAAAGTATTTTTTAAATATTTCACATTGTCACAAAATTAAATAATTTTTGCTTGTAATGTGCAAACATATTTTAGTTAAATATTTGCATGCTTTAATACAACCATTAACAAATTGCATTTTAGAGGAGTGAATGTGCAAAAATGATCATGTTTATTTTTTGCAAATAAAATTGCAGTGTTTGTTTAAAATTGAACTTTCTGAAATTTAATTTTAGAACAATAACTATTGTCCATTATAAATTAATATGTATTTTTTAATTTTAAGGTTAAAAAAAGTTTATTCATTAATTAATAATAAACTATGTTAAAATTATAAAAAAAGTCATTTTATTGAATTCAGGTTAAAAAAAAATGTCAAAACATTTAACAGATTTGTTTAATCTATTATATTAAATATTTCATAAAATTTGCAGTTTCAATATCAATTTGCAGGCTTCTGAAGATACAAATAATTTTAGTTTTCTCAAAACAATTGTTGTAATCAAGACTTTTTCTTGCTTGTCAGTTTTCTTGTTGTTATTTTTGTTATCTTTTTTCTTTATTTTATTTTACTGTACTATTCATTTATTTATTCAGTTTAATAAAATGTAATCATTTTTGTGAAATATCAATAGAAATATTATGTTTTATCCCATGAAACTGTGGTGAGTTTACTTTTCTTACAGTTTTGCCTAAACATTTATATTTTCTTTTTACCTGTATAGGATAAATGGTCTTGAATTTGTGTAGCACATATTACTATAGGACTTGTTATTATATACATTGTATTTTGTTATTCCTGTGCAGATATTATGGTCAATATCTGAGACAGGAAATTATATTAATTTAAATACTAAAAAATTAATTAAATCATTTAAATATTAAAAAAAATCATAAAATTCAATTCAACAGCAATATCGCAAAATAATGTTTTAAATGACATCTTTAAAATTTCCGATACACAGTTCCACGTGCGTTGGAGATAAAAAGGTTTTTTTCCCCTCCTAATAGAGTGTTGCCATTGCTCTCTCTTTTAAATTGTTGAGTTTGTTGATCAAAAATTCGTTTTAAATTTTACTAAACATGAACTCGATAGTAAAACAAATTCCAAATATTGGACTTTCCAGGTGCACATATTCGGATGGAAACGTACGTTATTTAAAACTGGATGGCTCTAGGTACCACTGTTTTATCACAAGTCGAGAAAACATACATACATTTATGCAGATTCTTCATTATTTAATTTCTTTAAATATAATACAGGGCAATAATATTTGGTGGCAACAATTTGAAAAGTGAATCGGACATTTATAGTGAACCAACACAAAATGCCAAAAGGAAAATAATAGTCCTTCAGGGCAAATTGCCCCTTTGGACTAAAAATAATTATGATGTTTTAATATTTTTCTCAATTTAATTTAGGAATATTATTGTACTATTATTCTTATCACTGATAGCAAAAATTTAATTTGTTATATAACCATCTAAAACGACAAAATAGAAAAGTAACTCATTTGTAAATTCTAATTAAATAATTTAAATACTGAAACATTGATCATAGCATTTTAATATTTTCTTAATTTAGAATAAATTAAAAACATCATTGTTCCATTATTATCACTAATAGTTAAGATTTAAAGCAAAAATTTTAATATTATATACCGATTTAAAATGATGAAATAGAAAAATCATGTATTGTAATGCAATTTTCAAATTTGTATTGCAATGTTTCCTTCATTCAGATTGTATTTTACATATATGCATAAATAGTTAAAAGAAACATCAAACACTTTTTTCTTTTTTAGTAAAACAGCACCAGTTTTTATTTGAATTACTCACAAAAGATGTTCAGCAAAGAGACTCTGGTAAGTTTTTCTTGCTTCGTCTTTTTTCTTACCTGGTTAGTGATGTTCCTTTTGCATGTAGCTTGTTGGTTTAAATGTTTATCTGACTGCCTGATTATATAAAAATAATCGTTAATTAAAAAAATCATTTAAACTCTAAAATTAACTTCTCCAGAAATGTTTGCAATATTACGAGCGAGAATATTTTTATAGCTTCTTGAAATTTTATTTGACAATTCTAAGCTTTGGATGTTGATTTTGTACTCATCATACAATTTATGGGGTGCTTTAACATTAAAAGCATTTCTAATTGATTTAAAAGATAACTAGTTTGTTGATATGTTGAGCTGCTGACTACATCTTTTCTTCCAAAATGTTCTTTTAGTATTTCTGTTACTGATTCACAGTTCTGATAACTTAAAGCAAAAATGTATCATGTTATCATATACACATATGTCCATAATAAGGTCTTATTTGAAGACATGCTAATTTCATTGCTTTCGTTTCTTCAGTAGATGTAACATTCAACATTATGTTTTGATGTATTACATTTCCAGAATATTCCAAAGTTTGTTTTAAAAATTGCTCCAGTCTTCCTCACCATAAAACTGTTGATATCTTGATTTTCTTGGCTTTGTGCAACTTCATTTTCAGTATCCTCCAAGTCGCTTTCATTTCAGTTTCTGAGCATATGCATTTTAATTCAGTCATTTTCTTTATTAACTATTATATCAATCATCGATTATTTCAATTTTTTTCTTTCATAGATTCGCATCAACTTTGGTTAGTAGTTTAGTATTTAATTGCCTTACAACAGATCAGTTCCCTTTCAGATTATTCTGTATGATTTCCATTTCAGAGTTTAAGTTCAATCTGTTTATTATTCTAGTTCTTAATGAAATAAAGAAAATGTATAATCTCTCTTTTTTAACATCAGTCTGAATTGGCAAATAATAACAGAGAGCATTTTTCAGTGCAGCATTTATTCTTAAGCTCAATAAGAAATTCTATATGAACAACATGTTTCCATAGTTTCTTTTACATGTAATAAACACTACCATCAACTTTTGGATATCTAAGAATACACATTCACAACATATATTTAAGAGCAGTCTCAAGATCAAGTTTGAAATTTCTGGAGATAAAAATTGTTAAAAGCCTTATTGTTTTTCTCAAAAGTAATGCTGTAATAAACACTTTTATTGTTTATTTATTTGACAGTTTTCCTGCTGTTATTTTTTTCTGTATTTTTTTTTTTATTTTTTATTTTATTTTATTTTTAATGAAATCTAATCTCTTTTATATTGTATCAACAAAGAGAAATATTTTTTCTCTTTTATATTTTATTCCTATGAAACTGTTCTGAAAGAGTTAACTTTTCGTACAGTTTTGCTTATACATTCACATTTTCTTTTTATTTGCACATGTATGTTCTTGAATTTGCAGGGAATATATTATTGTAGGACATGCTATTATGTACATTGTATTTATTCCCTATTGTGCAGATATAAGTCAATATCTGAGGCATAAAATTCTAATTAAGTAATTTAAATACTAAAAAAGAACTATTTTAATATTTTTCTGATTTAATTTAATCTAGAATTATTTTACTATTATTCTTATCACTCATAGCTAATATTTTAAGCAAAAATTTAATTTGATATAACAATATAAAAGTAACTGATATTAATTTTATTATTTTTTTCATTGAGATTGTATTTTAGATATATGCAGAAATAATTGATAGAAATATCAAACACTTTTTATTTATTTATTTTTAGTAGAAAAACACCAGTCTCAGCTTAATGCAGTCATAAATGATGATCAGCAAAGAGAAACTAGTAAGTTTTTTTTTTAATTTAATTTATTTTTCTATTCATTCTTTTTTTTTTTTTTTTTACCCTTTTAAAATTTATTTTGTAACTTTTTCTAATGAGCTTTTAGCTGTCATAAACATGGTGTACTTGTCTATATTTCTCATAAAAGTCTTTTTCTATGTGCGTAAATCACATAGAAAAAAATCATAAAATTCAGTTCAACAGCAATATCGCAAAATATTTTTTTTTAAATGAGCATCTTTAAAATTTCCGATACACAGTTCCACGCACTGGAGATAAAAAAGTTCCCCCCTAATAGAGTGTTGCCATTGCTTACTTTTAAATCACTGAGTTTATTAATTAAAAATTCGTTAAAGTTTTGCAAAATATGAAACAGATAATAAAACAAATTCCAAATGTGGGCTTCCAGTATGCCCATATTCGGGTGGAAACATACGTTATTCAAAATTGGATGACTCTAGGTACCGTTGTTTTATCACAATCCTAGAAACATACATACATTTATGCAGATTCTTCATTATTTAATTTCTTTAAATATAATACAGGGCAATAATATTTGGTGGCAACAATTTGAAAAGTGAATCGGACATTTATAGTGAACCAACGCAAAATGCAAAAAGGAAAATAATAGTCCTTCAGGGGGACTAAAAATAATTATGATGTTTTAATATTTTTCTCAATTTAATTTAGGAACATTATTGTATTATTATCACTGATAGCTAATACTTGAAGCAAAAATTTAATTTGTTATAACCGTCTAAAATGACAAAATAGAAAAGTAACTCATTTGTAAATTCTAGTTAAATAATTTAAATACTGAAACAACTGACTCATAGCATTTTAATAAAACTTTTCTTAATTAGAATAAATTAAAAACATCATTGTTCCATTATTATCACTAAAGTTAAGATTTAAAGCAAAAATTTTAAAACTTATTATACGAAACTTCCTGATTAAAATGATGTGAAACTAGAAAATCATGAATTGTAATGCAAATTTTCAAATTTGTATTGCAATCTTTCCTTCATTCAGATTGTATTTTACATATATGCATAAATAGTTAAAAAGAAACATTAAACACTTTTTTTTTTTTTTTTTTTAGTAAAACAGCACCAGTTTTTATTTAAATTACTCACAAAAAATGTTCAGCAAAGAGACTCTGGTAAGTTTTTCTTGCTTCATTCTTTTTCTTACCTGGTTAGAAATTCTCACTTCTGTCTGATGTTCCTTTTGCATGTAGCTTGTTGGTTCAAACGTTTATCTGACTGCCTGATTATATAAAAAAAATCGTTAATTTAAAAAAATAATTTAAACTCTAAAATTAACTTCTCCAGAAATGTTTGCAATATTACGAGGCAGAATATTTTTATAGCTTCTTGAAATTTTATTTGAGAATTCTAAGCTTTGGATGTTGATTCTGTACTCATCATACAATTTATGTGGTGCTTTAACATTTAAAACATACTTTTCCGTTTTAACCGGCGCAAAATTTAAGTCGCCAAATTTTAACTGATGCCAACAAAATCTTCTGATAACCTTTTATTCATGTTTCAAAACAAGTTGAACCAGTTCTTATCAATTGTTTCTTAATTACTGGCATGATAAATTTTTTAACGATTTAAATTTATCTTAGACATTCACGGAATAAGCAATAAACTCATTACATTCCGAAGTGAATTAAAAGAAAATAAAGTTTAAATTCATCATTAATGAGATGCACTACGAAGTAATGCCTGCGGTTTTACATAATTTCTGAAAGCATTCGTTACGAATTGAATAATTCTGATTAAACTGTTTTTCCAAAAAAGATTTAACTTGAAATGATGTAGATTTATGAAATTTAGATTTTTGTAGAGTAGTTTACTGATGAATTTGTCACGTGATTTTATGACACCTATCAGATTTGAACAAGAAAGTATAAATTTTAATAATGTCTTTTACAAATTTATTGTCTTTTTTAGTTTTTATAAATTGTTAACCATATTAAAATGTTTATGCCTTCAAAAAAAAAAAAAAAAATTCTTAGAATTAACATTTTTTTGTTAACATGTTTCGCCAACAAAGCTGTTTTGATTTGCAATAAATAAAGCATTTAAATTTTTCAAAAGACTAGTTGTTTAGTTTGAGCTTACAATCTTTCAGTCAAAATGTTATTTTATATTCTAATGAAAACAGTATGCTTAAAGCAAATAAATACTCTCAGCTAAAGTATGTATGTGTCATGTTATCATACACATATGTCCATAATAAGGTCTTATTTGAAGACTTGCTAATTTCATTGCTTTCGTTTCTTCAGTAGATGTAACATTCAACATTATGTCTTGATGTATTACATTTCCAGAATATTCCAAAGTTTGTTTTAAAAATTGCTCCAGTCTTCCTCACCATAAAACTCTTGATATCTTGATATTCTTGGCTTTGTGCAACTTCATTTTCAGTATCCTCCAAGTCGCTTTCATTTCAGTTTCTGAACATATGCTTTTTAATTCAGTCATTTTCTTAATTAACTATTATATAAATCATCGATTATTTCAATTTTTTTCTTTCATGAATTCGCATCAACTTTGGTTTGTAGTTTAGTATTTAATTGCCTTACACCAGATCAGTTCCCTTTCAGATTATTATGTATGATTTTCATTTCAGAGTTTAAGTTCAATCTGTTTATTATTCTAGTTCTTAATGAAACAAAGAAAATGTATAATCTCCTTTTTTACATCAGTCTGAATTGCAAATAATAACAGAGAGCATTTTTCAGTGCAGCATTTATTCTTGAAGCTCAATAAGAAATTCTATATGAACAACATGTTTCCATAGTTTCTTTTACATGTAATAAACACTACCATCAACTTTTGGATATCTAAGAATACACATTCACAACATATATTTAAGAGCAGTCTCAAGATCAAGTTTGAAATTTCTGGAGATAAAAATTGTTAAAAGCCTTATTTTTTCTCAAAAAGTAATGCTGTAATAAACACTTTTATTGTTTATTTATTCACAGTTTTGCTGCTGTTATTTTTTGCTGTATTTTCTTTCTTTTTATTTATTTATTATTTTTAATGAAATCTTTATATTGTATCAACAAAGAGAAATATTTCTTCTCTTTTATATTTATTCCTATGAAACTGTTCTGGAAGAGTTAACTTTTCCTACAGTTTTTGCTTATACATTCACATTTTCTTTTTATTGCATATGTATATTCTTGAATTTGCAGGGAATATATTATTGTAGGGCATGTTATTATGTAGATTGTATTTATTTCCTTTTGTGCAGATATAAGTCAATATCTGAGGCATAAAATTCTAATTAAGTAATTTAGATACTAAAAAAGAACTATTTTAATATTTTTCTGATTTAATTTAATCTAGAATTATTTTACTATTATTCCTATCACTCATAGCTAATATTTTAAGCAAAAATTTAATTTGATATAGCAATATAAAAGTAACTGATATTAATTTTATCATTTTGTTTATTGAGATTGTATTTTAGATATATGCAGAAATAATTGATAGAAATATCAAACACTTTTTTTGTATTTATTTTTAGTAGCACAGCACCAGTCTCAGCTTATTGCAGTCACAAATGATGATCAGCAAAGAGAAACTAGTAAGTTCTTTTTAATTAATTTATTTATCTTTCTATTCATTGTGCGGAGTAAAGGAAGTAGTGTAATCACAGAAAATTTCAAGTGTCATATTTCAACAAAAATATCCATTTCGACTGCTCTCGAAACCATTTGAGTGATGTTTTTCAATGAAATCTGTACATACGGACAGAATGAATGATTGTTATTGCCAAAATGGATGATAAAATGAGTTTAAAATGGATTCAGAAGAGATTTTTTTCTTTGACGTTTGTATGTATGTATCTTGCATAACTCAAGAACGAATAGCCGTAGAATGTTGAATTTTTTTATATGGGACGGCTGTAACATACAGTTGTGCACCTCCCTTGTTCATTTCAGTCAGCTGCACCAATCGTATTTTATATATATATATGTGTGTGTGTGTGTGTTTGTGTATATCCCCACTGTTACTTGGCTTGGTGAACTTAGTTTTTTTATTCTTGTATATTGGTAAATTTGCAAAAAGTGGGCATTTTTTGCTTTAAAAGTGATTCAGTTACGTGTTTTTTATGTTCCGGTTAAGGTTTTTATATGTTTAGTTTAATCTGCATGCATATTTGTAGAATTATCAACAATTTAGAAATTTAAGTGGCAAGTTAAGCCTAATGAACTGCCATTTATTTACATTTGAAACTCAGTAGCATAGTGAATTAAGTCAGTTTCTGCATCTTTGATGCTTTTTGTCAGATGGGACCAAAAGTAAACTTCCAGTTTTGTGAACCGACTAATCTGCCGTATTGCCCACTGGAAAAATTGCTTGTTTTTGCATAGAAACTCTAATTTTAATTGTAAATTTATTTAACTGTTTTAACTATATTTAATGTTTTTTCTGTATTTTAGAATTTTTAATTAAGATGTTTTGAGAATTAATTTATTTTTGTTTTGCCATGAAGTGAGAACTGAATTAATTGAATGAGAAATATATCCCTAATGGAATTTGAGGAAATAATTTAAAATAAAATGTAGCAAAAAATGTGTATAATTTAATGGGTTATACGAGGAAGTTGTGTTGTCCACATCAGATTTTTCATGTAGGTTATTGATTCAAATTTATGCCTCATTTCCCAGTTATTCAAAAATAATAGTTAATTAATCTATAAAAATTATTTTAAATCTTAAAGAATATAATTTCAGTGATTAACTTTTATGTTATATTTAGGATTAACAATTGCAAAACAAGAATTAAAAAAAGATGCAGAGAATGAAACTTCATCAGGAGAGTGTATGAAACCGTATTTTGTTATTTTATTTATTTTTATTGTAAGAAGTGACTGATTATATTATGTTATTTATATTTACTTGCCAAGAAAAAGAATTTAATATCGTTATTTTCCTCCTTAAAATGTTTTTGCTATAGCATAAACAAATCAACTGTCTGATTGAAATTTGTTCCTTACAATTTTTCTTCTGCTTTAGATTTGCATCATGTCTTTATTACTTTTAAAACTAATTGTTGTCAGCACCCACAGATAACACATATCTTTTGTTTTGATTAATAATCTAAAACATAAAATGAAATTTAATGACATTTTGAAATAGCTTTTAATGTTAAGGTATTTGTATAAATTGTTTTAACATTAAGCATTCCCCCCCCCCCAAAAAAAAAACTGAATTTGTTTTAGGACAACATTTGGCATAAAGCATTTTGAGCAGGCCTCGTTTTCAAAATGACTAGGTTTTAATATCTTACTCATCACAAAAACACAATAATATAAAGAACAGCATGCGTATAGTTGCAAAATAAAATACTCTCAGCTAAAGTATGTATGTGTCATGTTATCATATACACATATGTCCATAATAAGGTCTTATTTGAAGACTTGCTAATTTCATTGCTTTCATTTTTTCAGTAGATGTAACGTTCAACATTATGTTTTGATGTATTACATTTCCAGAATATTCCAAAGTTTGTTTTAAAAATTGTTCCTGTCTTCCTCACCATAAAACTCTTGATATCTTGATATTCTTGGCTTTGGGCAACTTCATTTTCAGGCATTTTGGGCAACTTCATTTTCAGGCATTTTGGGCAACTTCATTTTCAGGCAAAAAATGGGCATTTTTTGCTTTAAAAGTCGCTTTCATTTCAGTTTCCGAACATATAAATTTTAACTTAGTCATTTTTTTAATTAACTATTATATAAATCATTGATTATTTCAATTTATTTCTTTCATGGATTCGCATCAACTTTGGTTAGTAGTTTAGTATTTAATTGCCTTACAACAGATCAGTTCCCTTTCAGATTATTTTGTATGATTTCCATTTCAGAGTTAAAGTTCAATCTGTTTTTTATTCTAGTTCTTAATGAAATAAAGAAAATGTATAATCTCCTTTTTAAATCAGTCTGTATTGCAAATAATAACAGAGAGCATTTTTCAGTGCAGCATTTATTCTCGAGCTCAATAAGAAATTCTATATGAACAACATGTTTCCATAGTTTCTTTTACATGTAATAAACACTACCATCAACTTTTGGATATCTAAGAATACACATTCACAACATGTATTTAAGAGCAGTCTTAAGATCAAGTTTGAGATTTCCGGATATAAAAATTGTTAAAAGCCTTATTTTTTTTCTCAAAAGTAATGCTGTAATAAACACTTTTATTGTTTATTTATTCAACAGTTTTGCTGCTGTTATTTTTTGCTGTATTTTCTTTCTTTTTATTTATTTATTATTTTTAATGAAATCTTTTATATTGTATCAACAAAGAGAAATATTTCTTCTCTTTTATATTTTATTCCTATGAAACTGTTCTGGAAGAGTTAACTTTTCCTATAGTTTTGCTTATACATTCACATTTTCTTTTTATTTGCATATGTATATTCTTGAATTTGCAGGGAATATATTATTGTAGGGCATGTTATTATGTAGATTGTATTTATTTCCTTTTGTGCAGATATAAGTCAATATCTGAGGCATAAAATTCTAATTAAGTAATTTAAATACTAAAAAAGAACTATTTTAATATTTTTCTGATTTAATTTAATCTAGAATTATTTTACTATTATTCCTATCACTCATAGCTAATATTTTAAGCAAAAATTTAATTTGATATAGCAATATAAAAGTAACTGATATTAATTTTATCATTTTGTTTATTGAGATTATATTTTAGATATATGCAGAAATAATTGATAGAAATATCAAACACTTTTTATGTATTTATTTTTAGTAGCACAGCACCAGTCTCAGCTTATTGCAGTCACAAATGATGATCAGCAAAGAGAAACTAGTAAGTTCTTTTTAATTAATTTATTTATCTTTGTATTCATTGTGCGGAGTAAAGGAAGTAGTGTAATCACAGAAAATTTCAAGTGTCATATTTCAACAAAAATATCCATTTCGACTGCTCTCGAAACCATTTGAGTGATGTTTTTCAATGAAATCTGTACATATGGAAAGAATGAAGGATTGTTATTGCCAAAATGGATGATAAAATGAGTTTAAAATGGATTCAGAAGAGATTTTTTTCTTTGACGTTTGTATGTATGTATCTTGCATAACTCAAGAACGAATAGCCGTAGAATGTTGAAATTTTTTATATGGGACAGCTGTAACATACAGTTGTGCACCTCCCTTGTTTATTTCAGTCAGCTGCACCAATCGTATTTTATATATATATATGTGTGTGTGTGTGTTTGTGTATATCCCCACTGTTACTTGGCTTGGTGAACTTAGTTTTTTTATTCTTGTATATTGGTAAATTTGCAAAAAATGGGCATTTTTTGCTTTAAAAGTGATTCAGTTACGTGTTTTTTATGTTCCGGTTAAGATTTTTATATGTTTAGTTTAATCTGCATGCATATTTGTAGAATTATCAACAATTTAGAAATTTAAGTGGCAAGTTAAGCCTAATGAACTGCCATTTATTTACATTTGAAACTCAGTAGCATAGTGAATTAAGTCAGTTTCTGCATCTTTGATGTCTTTTTGTCAGATGGGACCAAAAGTAAACTTCCAGTTTTGTGAACCGACTAATCTGCCGTATTGCCCACTGGAAAAATTGCTTGTTTTTGCATAGAAACTCTAATTTTAATTGTAAATTTATTTAACTGTTTTAACTATATTTAATGTTTTTTCTGTATTTTAGAATTTTTAATTAAGATGTTTTGAGAATTAATTTATTTTTGTTTTGCCATGAAGTGAGAACTGAATTAATTGAATGAGAAATATATCCCTAATGGAATTTGAGGAAATAATTTAAAATAAAATGCAGCAAAAAATGTGTATAATTTAATGGGTTATACGAGGAAGTTGTGTTGTCCACATCAGATTTTTCATGTAGGTTATTGATTCAAATTTATGCCTGATTTCCCAGTTATTCAAAAATAATAGTTAATTAATCTATAAAAAATTATTTTAAATTTAAAGAATATAATTTCAGTGATTAACTTTTATGTTATATTTAGGATTAACAATTGCAAAACAAGAATTAAAAAAGATGCAGAGAATGAAACTTCATCAGGAGAGTGTATGAAACCGTATTTTGTTATTTTTTATTTTTATGTAAGAATGACTGATTATATTATGTTATTTATATTTACTTGCCAGAAAAGAATTTATATCGTTATTTTCCTCTTAAAATGTTTTTGCTATGCATAACAAAATCAACTGTCTGATTGAAATTTGTTCCTTACAATTTTTCTTCTGCTTTAGATTTTGCATCATGTGTTATACTTTTAAAGTAATTTTGTAGCACCAACAGGTAACACATATCTTTTGTTTTGATTAATAATCTAAAACAAAAATGAAATTTAATGACGTTTGAAATAGCTTTTAATGTTAAGGTATTTGTATATTGTTTAACATTCAGCATTCCCCCCCCCCAAACTGAATTGTTAAGGACAACATTGGCATAAAGCATTTGAGCAGGCTCGTTTTCAAAATGACTAGGTTTTAATATCTTACTCATCACAAAAACACAATAATATAAAGAACAGCACGCGTATAGTTGCAAAATAAAATAGTTATATTGAAACATTAAATTCAAAATATAAAAATTATATTCACTGACTATTTTGTGACATCGCGTGTTGCATTTCAAATAGGTTGTTCTTTCCTTAAGATATCAAACTAGTAGGAAGTACTGTATTGCATAAAAATTCATATAAATGTGCTTTCCACCACAGAAGCAAAGTCTATTAGGGTAATAGCTGTTTTGTTTTAAGTAACTGTATATTTGATGTAATCATAAAAATGGACAATGAATTCTTATTATTCATTTATTTTATCAAAACGAACATAATATTGCTTATATGTTTGTATTTTTTAGCTTGATAAATATATCACTTTTTATACATTGTTTCAAGAAAGTTTAAATCCAGTGCAAGTAAAGAAAAAAATAGTTAAAAAGACAAAAAGGAGCAATTTTTTCCCTCTCTCTTTTTTTTATTCTACTGAAACTGAATGGCACGTAATAAGTAATTCAAGTGAAATCTATGCCATGGAATAAAACTGAAATATTGATATCAGTAATAAAAAGCAATAAAAATGAAAATCAAAGTCAGAATACTGTGGAAGGCATAGAAGGAGATAAAAAGGAGTGGAATGGAAAAAGTAAGAGTTTAGCAAAAGTTTCGATTCTCTATTTACTACTAGCAAGCTAGCTTATTTTATCTTCCTAATATAACAGGGTGACCAATTAATATTAAGGAACAAATTATCAAATATATTTTGATAAACATGTCTCAGAATTTTGGTAAATCTGAAAGTTTGGAAAAAAATACGCATAACATATGGAATATATGTTAAAATGAAAGTAGATCATACTTTGACTGTAAAAAAGTAAATGGGGGTGGGAAGGGAAATTAGACCCTTACTAACTTTGCTTTTGTATTTGTTTAAACTTTTTAATAAAAAATTACGTCTCCATTTTATTTTTTCTTCCAAATTGTACATCCTCCAATTGATACAATCTGAATTTCTAATTAAATTACACTATTTTAGTATGCTCCCTCTGAAGAAGGGACATTCTTGTTTTTAAGGAACAAAATGTCTGATCGATGGGTGTCCCTTATTGAGAAGTACTACTGTATATTAAATTTTAAAATGGTTACAAATTGTTTTTTAAATTTTTTTCCACTGTTTGAAGCATGGGTAATTTTGACTTGCATGTGAATTAGCCTGATCTGTGATATAAAAACATGACTCAAATTAGTTAATTCCTTAAGGAAAAATTATGGTTTTATATATATATATATATATATATTATATATATTATACTAATTTTGAAAAAGTATTTGTTAACTAGAGATTTTTCATATTTAACTGTTGGAAAAAAACGGGGAAAAAATTTGTAAAATCAAAGATGTCATAAAATACAGTTTTAAGTTGGGATTTGACTGCACACAAGGTCTATTCTATGTACAAAGAGCATACATACTACTGAAAAACAATATGAGCCTATTTAAGTGCTGTGATTTTTCCATGTTTTTGTTCTTAAGGTATTAATTTTATGATCTGTGATTTATTTCCCATTTGCTATAGCATCTAGAAGTTTCCAAAGAAGTAATTGATGTTACATGTTTTCTGCTTTTTTCAGTGATTTAATTTATTTATTTTGCTGCATTAAAAACTGCTAATAAATTGTGGGTTAACTGATCAATTAAGAGTGAAAAAATAAGATGTTGTTATAGATTATTAATAAAAGAGTTAAATTTGTGGAATTTAATAGGTATGTTTGCCTAAAATTAAAAGGAAATAAGATTTGGGTTGTAGAGGAATATGTAATAATAATTCAGTATAATCCCAAAGTTCAGAATGTAACTGTCTCAAAGCAATAATAGTAATAAGTAATGAAGCAAGGCAATATAATAAATCCCTAACAAAAGAAAAGTAAAATTCCCATGTAACTTGTATGAGGAAATGTCTTTAAGTATACAAAAGAGTTACATAGTACAATGATACTTTAATGCTCATCTTTAACAGATTCTAGAAGCCTTGAATAGAGTAAATCCTTTGTAAATGCTTTGAGAATTAGAATAATCAATATCCATCTTCTCTGAGATGAGTTCTACAAAAGATCAAAATCTTCTGGATCCTGTTTGGTCACATATGGAGAGTTCACTATATTAATTATTAAGGGATATCGTTTGTGCTGTATGTATTCCTATTCACTTATCTGAAATGAAAGTAATACTCTCAATAGTGGTTCCTATCTAAAATAATATAAATAGCAATAGTGAAAGATGAAAGTTATGTCTTCAACATTTTTACATGTTTTTACCAAATTCATTGCTCAGAATTACTATTAAAATATATTTGAAGTAGATTATTATATATTTACTTTCATGACAACAATACTTTATTTTCAAAATCCATTTGCCTGGAAGTACTGACATTAGAAACATTGAATTTGTCTAATGCAGGAGTTCCCAACAGGGATGGTAATGACCACCTTTTTGTTGATGGAATTTCAAAGGGTAGTCTAATATACACTGACATAATTTGGTAGCCTAATATACACTGACATAATATATAATTTGGTAGCCTAATATACACTGACAGTTGATCAGAACAATCAAGATCTCATTGATTAAAAAATATTAATAAAATTGATAATTGTTTATTGACATAAAACTATATCATATAGCAGATATGATAGAAATAATAATAATAATAAAAATTAGGGAAAAATAGGCACATCTTATTCAGAATGCTAAGTTTTGAAATTTAATGATCATCTGAGAAAAATATCCCAAAGTAAAGCTGTTGCCAAGCAGCATTGTTAACTTTTTCCTTTTCTTACATATTTTCTACCAAAGCCTGCTTCTGCAGGCTGTAGTCAGATCAAGGCCTTAATGGAAAGCAAAAAACAATTTTTGAAAACAAGAAGAGATAATGGAAAACAAGAAACAGTTTGAATATTTTTGAAAGACATGATTTAAGAATTAAGCAGTTTTACGGCAAATATTAAAAATATTGCATGAATACCTCGAGGAGTTAATTAAAATCAAACTTCTGTGCAATTAGAATCTGTGACATTTTTTCTACAACTTTGTTTTTATTTGTAAAATTTAAAAAATAATAATAAAATAAATCTAATAAACCATTTTTTTAATTTCTTGTTTTTCTTTGCAGTTGTTATTTATATGCAATATTTGGGCTATGTTTATTAGTATGTTGCACACTAAAGAGAAAAATATAGGGAATTGCTGTAGAAAACCTTTCTTTTAAAAGGGATGGTGCAAGAAAAATGCTGGGAATACATATTTTAATGTATAAAGTAGATACCTGTTATCATTTATCTAACCTAATACATCCAACCAAATTTCTTGTTACAACCTTTATGGAATGAGTGGTTTAGATTAAATGTATGTGCCAAAGAGGTATTGCGTATACTAATTAACTGTTATTGATTTTAAAAAAAAAATTGTTTTTATGCTTTATTATGTTCCATAGTATATATGGTTTTATTTAATGATAATATTTATGAAAATTTATGATAGATCAGTGGAAAACATCCATTTTTTGTTCTTATTCTTTCTTAAAATGAAGTATGAAGAGTTATTAATTTCTTTTAGGGTAAAGATCATTTATATTTCAGGCAAAAATATTCATCCAAAAAAATTAGATAATAATAACTGTTCACTGTTGAATGAAAGGTTAGATAACTGTCTACTATTTTAAGAAACGAGATTGTGATCCAAATATTAATTTCTTAATTTAAAGAAGTGAGAACATTGTGTTTAACATTAAAAAAATTAAATGTGCAAAAATGATCACACAAGAAATATATTGAATGCTGTCAGCAATGCAATATCTTGTCCTTAGTCTGCTGAACAACATTTTATATCATCTTAATAATTTTAAAATGCAGTATACAAGATGCATTTTAATTTTTAAAAATTATATTCTTTATACTTTTAATTAAAAATTTTCAAATGATTTCATTCATTAAAGCTGTCAAAAGTGTGGTTTGATTTTTGTTTAATAACTGTGTGTGGTAACTATCGCAATTTTTAGTAAACAGCATTAGAAAAGTGTCAGACAAATTTGTCTTAATTTTTAATATGAAGTTCTAATGCAAAATCTGTGAATTTGCATATATATTCTAGATACTTTTGTTCTTATTTATGTAAAATAATTTTTTAACCTGTCTTAAATCAATATTAAAATTAATTAAGTTAAAAATTTCTCCTTACCTTTCAAGTTTCATGAAAATTAATGTTACTTATCTATTTTAGGTACTATTTCTAGTAAAATTGTAGATCCTGCTGGAAATATAATTGGTGAAAGCATAATCACTGTGGAGAATAATGGTAGGATATTTCAGATTTACTTTTAAGGTTATTATTAGATCTTTACCTGGCCTTAAATTCTAAAGCCAGGCCATAGACACATAGTTCCATTTACAAAAAATATTTTCAATTCATGTTTTGGCATTTTTAAATTTAAAGAAATCAATTTTGTAAAAATTAAGAAATCTGAATTTTTATGCATAACTCCAGACCCTAGACTTATATCGAGGAAAATTTTGCACAAATTATAAAAAATAATGCTCGTATACAACAATAATGGACCAAGTTTTTTAATTTACAAATTTGTGATTTTTGATGTCATATTCTACTCACGTTGAGGAGTTGGTTAATAAATAAATCAGAATAACTCAAGATTGATTGTTTCGTCCCTAAATGCCATTCAAATATGTATATATATTGTGATTTATAATAATATTTAATTTTGTTATGTTTGGTATGTTGAAATAATTTTCGTGCAAGTAATTTATTAAGTTTTCAAAGTCTAAAAATACATTATTCTCATAGAATTATGATCTGGTAATCATACAAAAAATTCCTTAAAGTACAAATATTTTTCATTTTGAACTCATGCAAATAATATTACAAATTGGCTATGTTGAAATACTGAAGCCTGCCAATGTGTTCTAGAACACACAATATATAAGGTTCTGTTAACAAGATCTCCATTTTGAAAAAATGCATATTGATCAGTATTTTTCACAATACTCTGCATAGAAATACTCATCACGTACGCTCTTAACATGAGGAACTTTTCTGTAAACTGATATTTTAGTTATGTGTTCTAGTTACAAAAATATTTTCAATACAAACACTTTGCTCTTCAGTTTGTGCATAGCCCAGAATATGCTCACTAATTTTAATATCAAATACGTTAAATATCTAATACCCTTATCAGTTTTTGTCATAAGAGAGTTATATTTTTTGTGTTTCATTTTTTATGACGAGTACAAAATTTTTCTAAATATAAGTATAGAGACTTTAGAAATACATAAAATTTAGATCTCGTAATTTTTACAGAAATGATTTCTTTAAATTTGAAATGCCAAAATATAAATAAATATTTGCATCATTTAAAACATTTTTGTAACTGGAACTGTATGACTGCAGCCAATGGTTATTTATTTATTTATTTCGGACGCAGTGCAGCCCGCCTGACGAGCGAAGCTCATTGTATGACACGAAGGAACTGCGGCCATATTACATAACAAACACACACATACACACACACACACACACACACAAAAAAAAAAAAAAAGTGAACAAAAAAAAAAAAAAAAAAAGCAATACAATAGTAAACCAAGCCATAAAACAAACAAGCATCGTCTTATTGGTTTGTATAGTACAAAGCTTGTGTATAAGAATTGGTTGTTGAAACTTTGGCTTGTTCAGATTTATCCACTTTATCTGTAATTTCCATATTATGTAGATCTGCATTTTTCAGTTTATCAAGAATTGTAATTAGTTTTCCTTGCAATCTTTGTGGTATGACGTACTTTCCATTTTTTTCTAAGTTTGATGATTTGGACACCATTATCATATTGTTTATTAATGTTGTCCCTATGGTTAGTTATGTTGTCTAAACAATCATTAAAAATGCTATTAGCCACTAGATTAAAGTCATATTCAGAACTATTAAGTTCTGAATTAGAGTCTGATAAATAATCGTGAGAAAACATAGTTGCTAAAACCTTTATAGTATTCTTACATAAATAATAAATTAAGGAGAAAATGCTTTTTACAGTGAAGATATAGGTATAATACTAATATAAATAAATAAGATCAATATTTCTTGCATAGCCGTATTCTAGTGGTATAATATAATAAAATATTAATTAAAAGCTCAATATTATTTCAGTAGAAATAATTTATTTGGAAGTATTTATTGCACAAGTATTTTATGCATGTGCATTGAAATTCCTTGGGATTCAAAAATTAAGGGAAAAAATGCCAAAACATCAGTAAATACGCTATAAATCTAAATATGGACAATTAAATTTGTATAAAATTTATATAGAGAAGTAGGAGAAATTTTACTCTACATATCCATTAGAAAATTAAGATATTCCAATCAAAAACACTCATGAAAGCATTGAAAATATTGTAAAATCTTTACAGTTATTGCTATTCTAACAATTATAACAATGTTAGTGACTTTATAAATATATAAAATATTGAAGCAATATACTAATTTGAAACCATATAGAATGTATAATTTTAAAGTTAATGAACAGGAAACCTAAATTTCTAGAATGAGAAAAACCTTCTCTTTAAAACCAATATAATTATATTGCAATTTGACACAAAATCTTTGAAAATATTGCTTATTTAATGGCTTAACCATTCACCGATTGTAGCTGATATCAGACTTGAAGTGCAATCCATATTTATCCTTCTAGCTCACAGGTGGCTGGACTTATGAATTTTAAAATTAGAACATCATGTTCGTCTTATTAAGACCTTTAGAAGATACAGCTTTGAGGGTAGTTGCAGCAATCTATCTGCATTTAGGAAACATTTATCGAAGTGGAGGAAAAAAAAAAGCTGTTGCACTATTAACTATTGTAACATACCCAATCAACCAATGGTTATGAAAAACAAAGCTTGAGTAATGACTTTTGTGGACATGATGTATAATAGACTGATAGTGTTAAAAGTAATTTGAAGGCTAATGGCCGGTTTACATTTCTATAAGTAAGCCCCTCATCCAAGCGTCTCGAACTGAGTGAACGGACCTGTACTCTGATAGATTGTTTACACCAATCAGAGCGAACTCGTCTCTGTTTGTTTGCAAAATAGATATCAACATGCAAGTTGCTATGCTTGAAGTTTGCAAGTTTCCAACAAATTAATTAGGGGAAAAAGAAGAAGAAAAGGAAATCAAAACATGACTGTGTAGCTCGCCGTGATGAATTGGGAGCTTTAATTCAACTTTTAAATGAACTTTGGGGTGTGGATGTCCAACGTTACAAAAACGTCATCGAAATGGGCGAAGGATAATTTGAAACTTTATCGGAAATGGTCACTCATTAAAAAAAAAAGTTCTTTCGAGATGCTTTGCCAGCAAAATTAAAATGCAGATAGCGCTTTGGGATGGGTGACTCCTACAGTTCTCTGCAATATTTATTTCCAGTGTGAAAATACACAATCAGCATATTTATTCCAGAAGTGTTTGAGGTCATTTTCTGTGCATGAGGTTGAGCGAAAATTATTAATCTTTTGCTTGAATTCTCTTCAAATTTTAACATGCTAATAATAGCCTCATATGCCTTCTGTCGGCGATTTTTATTTTAATACTTCTGACTGATCATTTGTAAATAAAATCTAATTTGTGGTTCAAATAAAAAGGAAAGTCTGTAAAACAAAATTTCAAAATTAACTTATATTTTATTAGATGTAATCAGCCGTGAGTAGAAACTGATTTTTCGAAATTTATATCAACGAATAAAATAAAATGTTTGCTCTTTTTAATTGAAAACTGTATTTTATTGGGTATTTGAATAACATATAATTTAATTGTTTTTTAATTAAAGAAAATTCAGAAATAAATATGTTTAAAATAAATATTTTGAATCCGATACCCTAATTTAATTTTCTTCTGTGTCTTTTCTACAATATTAAAAATCTAAATTCATTCTGATCTGTAGTTATATCCACGTTATGTTTAGGTATTAGTGAACAATGGTTGCAATATTCAGGTAGTGAACTATCCCATAATACTTCACAAGATGCATATGCATTAAAAAATGCTATAGTTAGATTATTGCTCCATCTCAGCATTTTTGAGATGATGAAAAAATTGGGCATCTCTGCGATCACTGCTCGGAGTTACTGCCCAGATCGATTTTCAACTAGTTCAAAGTAGAAACCGACTTGCTGACTTATCTTCCCTACGTTTCTATTTGGACGAAGTGAGCATACATTGTCAAAGTATTCGTTGTGAAGAGCTTGCTGCAGGTCGCCCGAACAGGAGTAAACTGGCCTTAATACAAGGTTTGTACACATTTCTGCACATGGAAATTAAGTACTTTTAAGGACCATTAAGCAAAAAAAAAAATAATAATAATAATAATAATAATAATTAATTCCCTATCAGTAAATGGGAGCTGAATAAATTCAATTAAAGATTATTTATGCTTGAACTTCACTTTTGTAATATCATCCTAATAAAGCAGATCTGTAAGTTGGATGCATTTTTTCCAAACATAATTATAAAACAGATTTGAGAATAAAATCTACTCTCCAAAATTTAACAAATAGTATTAAATATTTTGCTTATATTATTTGGATATACTTTAAAGAAGATTAGTGATATTTATTCATGTTCTGCTAACAGTTACCTTTATGATTATTTTTTTCATTTATGTCTCATTTCGTCATGTACTTGCTCTTGTCTAGAAGTTTGGTAAATAGTAGCTAAATTTTATGTCAAACAGCACAGGTTAAAATGAGAAGCAAAATCAATTGCACTGGGAACAGCAATTTCATTGGCACTTCTGGTCACTTGTTTCTGATTAACTTTTGGCCTCTGTATTGAAAAATAACCTCAGTTTTGTCTATCACATAAAAATTTTAAGCCAGAGGATACTCTGTCTCAAAAATCATACAAAATATGCATATGAAGGGAAAACTTATCAAATATACTGTTCAAAAAGATAGTTTATTCTTACAAAGGCTATATATAATTGCTACAAGTTAAATTTTGTTCATATAAATAGTAATGTTTTTTTTTTTTTTTTTTTTTTTTTTTTTTTAACCAAATGGTAAACAAACATATTGGGGTAAAAATTTTCGCTTTTTCTGAAGTGTTTAATCTGTGCATATTCTTGCTAGATGTTCCAACAATAATCGGCCATCATATTTACATCTTATCTACCTCAGTACTGTGCCTTCATAACTTTCAAATCTTGGTGGAATTGCTCACACTGTTCACCACTGACTGCACCAAGATTTTTTGAGAAGTTATCAAGATGGCTATGATAAAAAATGCATTTCTATGCTCATGTTGTAACCAAGGCATTTTGAAGCTGTCCATAAAATGCTGGACAATTTCAGTGTAATTCAGTGCTCGTATTTCAAAAAAAGTCTTTGACAGCGTTTTTGAGTGGCAACCAAGCATTCTTTTGAAGTTTTGTCATTATTCTGATGAAATGTTCATCTTTAAGAAGTTGCTGAATCTGTGGACCATCAAATATACTGACCTTTATCTTTTCAAAAGGCAGGCTAGGAAATGTGGAAATAAGATATTTTAAACAGTCTCTTTCAATTGGCAAACAAACAAATTGCTTCATGAGACCCAGTTTTATATGCAGAAGTGGAAGTATGTTTTTTCTGTCATCAAGCGGCTGATGTAAAATGTTTCAATCACCAAGTTTCAGGTCAGGTCTTGGCAGCCAATTCGAGTACACCCAATGCATCTCGTAAACTCTGCTGTCCTGTGGAAGAAACAGGAATACGTAGTGTATCCTCACTGCTGTCCAAGGAGGAAGCTGACCATTTTAAGGTCAACACAAATGATCCATTCTTTGAATTCTCAAATTCTTTGAAAACTGGCCCTGGGAGTTAAGCTGAGTGAGGCACTGAGCTGATGGTAAACTAAGATACTCTATTATAGATTTGTGTTCCTTGTTATACCTTGATGTTTTCACTATACAAAAGTAACAATCACTTAAGTGATCTTTGAGCTCTCGCCAACTCATAAGTATTCCAAATGGAAATTTAGAATGTGTTCCCTTTATCCACATAGGTAAACTCTCAATACACTGCTTGCATACTTTGAAGAGCCCATGAACTGTCTTGATCACCAGTTTTCATTTTAAAATAAACTTGCCCAACAAATGTACTGATGTTTGTCTTTTGACTGGGAATGGTAAAACTGCTACATGTATAACAAAATGAATTGGGGCTGTTTAGGTGTACAACAGGAACTAGCAGATGCAGACATAAGGAAAGGCTTCAGCTTACATATAAACTAAACACTGTCAAACTTTTATACAAACAAGAATGTGGACACTACATTAGAATGCATTTCAGTATATGAGAGCAATGTAGAATGTCTCTCTCAGCGGTAACTGAACTACTACACAAGTGTGCACCTATTGCTGATCTCCTATGGTATCATCCACCTGCCACCAGTCTGAGGGTTTATGTCAGCCAATAGGAGAATAGTAGTTCTTCCTAAGATCTATGCTTGATACAGCGGAGAGTGGTCACATTCACATAAGGTGTAGAGAAAAAAACTAATCACAGTTTTGAAATCAGCATGCCTATGTCACTCTAAAACAGTTCAAAAATAGAACTCAACAGAAATTGTTCAACAAATTGTTCTCCAGTGTAATCAGCATGATTCCCCCCCCTGAAAAAAAAGGGGGGGCTTTGCTGTACCACTGCTGTTTGCCTAGAGCAGACTAGACCACTGCTCTTTGCCTAGACATGCTGATCAGAACAAAATGAACACCTGATGTTGGCATGGTTGGTAAGTTAACTGCATCTGTCTGATGCAGTTCTTCAAGTTATAACCCAGTTAATATACTTTAAGGTTCTAGTAAGCCACTAAAGCACTAGAGGTGATAAATTGTTTTGTATTATTTTCAGTTTCACTAGCTTTAAGAAATAATTTAATTTTACATTAATTTTTACATTTTTTGTGTTGTATCTTGCGACCATAGTAAGGATTAATGATAGTCAGTAACTCGTTTTAGCATGCAGAGAAGCCCACCAGCGGCCAAGCGGTAAAGTTGCTGAACACTGGTAGTTCAGTCCAAGGTTTCAATCCCGCGAACGGGCTGGCTGCATGGGAATTTTCGTGGTTTTCCCCATGTGTAACGTGTATATGAGCCAGTTTCCCTTAAAGTCCTCCACGAAGGCATCCCTTCCCTTAGGTGGATAGCCCTCGAGGCTTTGCCATAATCACACACACATTAACATGCAGAGATAACTTTTAATTGTGAGCAATTAGTTACAAATAATTAAATTAGGCATTTAGATGCTCTTGGTGATTATAGATTTATTATTAATTTTATTTAGTTTTTTAAAATTTTTGTTAAAAAGGCACTATTTAAATCACAATCTAAGAACATTTTACACTTTAAAATACATGTAATTTATGCCATTGGTTCTTAAACGATATTAGGATAATTTTACATTAAAAATGTTTTGTAACAACATTCAACAAAATAATTATACATCTTTTTAATTTGAAAAACTTTCCAGACATTTTAAATAATTTATATCAATTTCCTTCTCTTTAAGCATCTTTTCCAACAATAAGAAATTTGTTTCAGTAATAAGTAAACTAATGCCTCAACAGTATAAACTTTGAAAAATAATTATCTTACTCTTAATGTATTCAATTTCTTCCTCAGTAAGTTTTCCCTATAATTTAGAATTTTTGAATTTCATTAAAAATTTTTGTTATTCTAAAAAACTTCATGTATATAAAATGTATAGAAGAAACTGCTAATTTTATTCATTAATATGAACATTGAGAATAAATGTGAAATGATACAGGTCAGGATCGGTACCAGAGCTGGTGTGGCAAAATTTTTAGAATTTAGTGAAGCACCACGTAACAAATTCAAAGAACGTAAAAACTTTTAGAATTTAGAACAGGTACTGGGTGGAAGAATTTTAGGAGTGTCAGGCACAAGGCAGCACAATTTAGGACCCACAGACACTATATCATGTGGAAAATGCCTAGTGCCTACCCTAGACGTATAAGATGAATCTTTTATATTGTCAGATTTCAATATCTTTATTAATAAAAAAATTCCTTTCTATAGATGCCTGTCCTTGTGGCTAGATTAGAAGCATTTTTAATATTTTCCATACATTTGTCTTAGGAAAAGAAAAGATAATAAAGGGAAGATATGCATGTTTAAAAAAAAAAAAAAGACTTCTAGGATCAGAAGTAGCAAATTCAAATTATTAGGTTTTAATTGTACTTCCCATTCTCTAAAAAGTAGAAATTCATCAAAAACTTTCTAAAAAATGCATCCATTACATGTTAATACCATGAAGACATTTTTTGTTTGGTCCCAGTTTTCTAGAATCATAAGGTCTATAAATCTTGCCACCGAATCTTTCTAAACTTTCCAAGGTGCATTGTCAAGAATCCAAAAGATAAATTATCCTCACAAATTCTGTAATAGCAAAGAGCCAGTAGTATATATATAAAAGAAAAGAAAAAAGGAAAAAAATGTAAAATAAATTTTATAGAGGAAACATACACATTCTGAGAGTTCTAAATATCCTGAGACAATTACGCAAGGAGAAAAATTCTTACCATGAAAAAATATAAAAGCAAACTTTTTAAAATAATTATAATAACTATTTTGCTTTTGCTAAGCATTTATTATCTTGTTTATTTTTCATATTAAAAATATTCTATAAGTCACCAAAATGGAAAGTAATGACATTTTATAATATGACAGGGGAAAATCTAAGTGTTTTATTTTAATTTTATTTCTTAAACATAATTTTAATATATTATCTTTATTTTAATTAAATTTATCAATGTTATGATGTTTTAAAAAAATTTTGAAAATTCTCAAATCTCTACATTAAAAATTTTGTGTAAAAATTAATTTGAAAATAACCGAAATGTTGATAAGTTGCCAAATTTAGAGCCGTTTCATAAAAGAATTCACATCTCCAAAAGAGAAAAGTTCTTTGTAAGCAAAAGCATTAATAAAAAGATATGATATCATTATGTTTCATTTCTTGCCCAGAAACTCGAGTATTGCACTGTTTATATTAGAAATGGAAAAAATTCATATCCATCAAATACATATATTTTTCAGTGAATTGCTAAAAAATGTTCTAAAAAAGGTAATATTTCAACATTATTGTAAAATATTGAGAGGCAGATAGATATCTTTAAACTGGAATTGACTATTGCAAACAATTTTTAACTGAAGAAAATGCAAACTATAATTATATTAAAAAAAATTACCTTCTATAGATTTGTATTATTTTGCATAAATCTTGTAATGTGTTATTAATCTCAAATATTCTTTTATTTTTTATTTCCTGTATTATTTTAGTTTAATTTTCTAGATTTTTCATGGCCTCTAATTTTGTATTTAGACCTCTTTCGTAATATCAATGCATATACAATATTTATGCACATTTTATCGTACTTAATATAAGAACATATTTCATTTTTAGCTGTGAATGATGATATTTTATAATTTCAATAAATAAAACAATTGAATTATATTAACTGACCTTTATGTAGAATACACGAGTTTGATTGATTTAAAATAGTTAGTACCAGATAGATATCTTAAAACAAGAAATTTTAACAAAGCAAGCCATGATTTGTAAAATTATTAAAACATGAAATATCTATGAGTTTTGGTAAAAAATTGATCACAGAAAAATCTATAATTGCTTAAAGAACCTAGGCGTAAACTTCTGATTTTTTAGGCCGCAGAAACCAAAGATGAAATTATTTCAGAAAAAATATTATGTTTGTTGTCTTGCTAAGAATTTTATGTTTGTATATTTTTTATTTCTAGAAAGATTCAATCTGCCTGCAGTTGTCCAAATGACTGAAATGAAGGAGCATCATACTGTAATTAATATTAAAAAAGAAAGGCTCTCTCCTGTAAATGTTATAGAGCAGCAGTCTTGAAGTTGGTATGAATTTTTTAAATACTTCATTAAAAAAAATACTGTCTTTTATAAGAATTTTAAATTATTTTATCTCTTCATGACTTTTATGTATTTTTTATTGAATAGTTTTTATAGAGAATGTTATATAAATGTATAAAAATTGTTTTTTGGAATTCTAACTGTTCTCAAAACCTAAATAAAAATTATCAGAATAAGACACAATTTTATTTTTTTAGTAATATAACAATGTAGTATTTAATGTCAGATTACTTTTTGGCTACAATGTATGTTAGAGTATTGATATTTATGGCACTAATGCCAGATCAAACTGCATTCCTTTCATTACAACACTTCCCACTGTTCTAATTGTATTTTCCCTCATCCTGAGAAAAGTCAACACCAATTTATACCTTAAACCCTGTCTACAATGAGGAGACAAGTCTCCATTGTTGACAGCATTTTGTTTACACAGGGATAATAATAATAAATAGAAAGCTTAATAGCAAACAGAAAATAGCAATAATCAGAAATGAAAAATACGAAAAATAAATGAAAATCATAAATAAATAAAGCGGGAAAGAAAAACAATTAATTGTGAAATGTAATACACATACACACACACATATATATAATCATTACATAAAAGAAAATAAATCTTAATTATGTAGCATAAAATATGAGGGGGAAAATTGCTGATATATAGATTCATAATAAACCATCTTTTTAAGTGCATGACATAAAAACGTAGTAATCTAATTATTATATTTGCATAATTGATATAAAGTTATTATGTAAATAATTGATATAAAATTTTATGATAATAATAAAATAACATCAAATTATATGTTACATATAAAAATTTGATAATTTTTATATTAACAGAACTCTAACTACAAAATTACTGAAACAATAAAATATTTATTTTCAGTGAAAAACATCAGAAAATAGCTCTAGCTGTACTGAAACTCACAATCTGTTGGTTCACAGAAAAATTAAGCATTTTCGTAAATGTGCCAAGTGATCAAGCTGTTTAGAACTAGTCCAAAAGTTGAAAAATCATTAACAATAGAAAACTGGAAATATAATCAAATAGAAACAGATGATAAAAATTAAGGCTTTCTTGTTTGTCAGACTTTTCGGAACAGAAGAATATAATAATTCTCTTAAACAGGAAAAATTAGTCTTGCAGTTATAGTTAACGGTAACAATTGATGTAAAAAATACATCACTCTGTATTTTAAAATAGCAAATCCCTTGTATTGAGGTGAATAAATATTCTTCTAAAAAAATTAATGATAATGAAACTATAATCAATAAACGAAAAAGCCTTTAATTTCCTGAGAGCTTTTGTGAAATATGTAAACTTTAATTCCAACTAATAATATAAAAAATATGCCCACTTGAAAAACCAACTGAAAATCAATAATCACAAATATTCAAGTAGCAAGGTTAAAGAAAGTAAGGATTAATTTCACTTTCTTTCCCAAATGCAATCCATTGCATAGATTGCATTACAGTACAGTATTAGATTAAAATTCTATAATAATTATAATTATATAGAATTTTAATCTAATACTGTACTGTACTGTAATAAATATTAATCTACATATCATGTCTTAAAAGTATAATTCTAATTGTTCTTTGTCATTTGTCTTTTTTTCAGTCAATCCCATGAAGCTGTGTAAATGGTATTTTAAGCTGCATATCATTTATAAACTGAACATTCATGTAAAATAACATACAAAATATAAAATAACAAATGAAAAAGGCAATAATGTAAACCATGATCTATGTGTACATACACATACAGATACACTGCCTAGCCAAGAAAATGCCGCACTATGAAAGAATAATTGAAAAACAGACCAAATATAATGCAAAATAGATAATCAGGCTTTTACTAAATAATTTAATCTTCAAAGATATGCAGTAATAAGCTACTCAGATATACAGGGCATGAAGAAGATAGTGCACTTCCATTTTAGGCAGTACATTCTTGAATATGTTGTCAAACCACTGAATGTCTGAACCATGTCTTGTGAATATTGTACACACATTTTTTATGTCATCTTCAGAATGTAGGGGACAAGAGGTATTCAATTGATGAGAGATTAGCTAATTGATGTTGTCAAAAGAGCATATACTTACCTTGCAATGACAAAAGCAAGCCAAGCAGTTATGCAATTGGACATTATTTTGTCAAAAAAATTACATTTGAGAAGATAAACAGGCTGCATAGTCTTCAACAACATAGTGGCATCCCATTAATGTGTCCTACAGATGAATGACTTTTAGTACTAATAATATCCCAAACTATTATTCCATGTTGATAAACTGAGCACCACTTGAAAATGATATCCTCTTTGACAACACATTCTCACAAGTTGGTTATCATTTGTGGGGCAGACATAAGCTTTGTTGCTGAAGACTACACTGTCCCATTCGGCACTCCTTGCAGTTCTGCTACATGTTGACTGCATAGCAATAACTTATTGATGAAAGCCTTATTAGTGAAGGGTAGGACACCATATCTAAGTCAACTGTCACAAAACTGTTTATGTTGATACTGAACAGTTTCCTACACATTTAACAAAATATACCCATTAGTTAAATATGGTATGATAGCATATGCTGCAGTCAGGTCCTGGGTTCACTGTCTACAATTCCAACAGTTATTTTCTTCATGATAGAATCAAGGACCAACTAGTAGTACCCAGGCTTAAAACCTTCATGAACATTTACATATCCTGATACTGAATGTCAACTTAAAGATATTAGCATGTCTTTTCAGAAAAACTCGCATGTAGCTGTAAGACCCCTAAAACTGATGTCTGTACATTGCTTGGATTTTTATACCCTGTGTAATCACCAGACTGGCTTGTAATTGCATTCATTTGTATTGTAATATGTTTGCTTCTTCTTTTGCGAGTGTGTGACATTTTCATTTATGTATGTAGACATACATATAGATTATGTAAAGAGGTGCTTAAATTTTCTTTGACTAATCTTTCATTAAAGCTTGGCTCTTATCAAAACAGTTTACCAATAATGACCTGGATTTCAACGAAGGATTGTTTTAAGATCTTGTAAAACAAAATAAGAAGAGTTTTAATCCATACCCTGCAGTATGTGTAAAAGTTTTGCAAGCTAAAAATTTACATGACATAAAGTGATTTTAATTTTTTAGCTTTAGATTCAGTTTAAAATGTATTTCATTTTCATATTTTTAAGTCATGTTTGTCAATTTTAACTATTATTTTTAACCAAATATGGCATTTTTATTGTAAAAATTGAATTTAGTCATAACTTTGGTTATATAATGGTCATATAATACCTTAATGAGTGAATTTCATAATCAGATGAAATGACATTAATACTTCTAGATGTAGATACTTCGAAAAAGTTAGGGTTTTAAAGTATTTTATGTATACAACTATTTATCAAACCTAAAATATGATAATGCTGTAGAGACATTAGGTATTTTTTAGCATTTAGGTATGAAAAATGAGCAAATGCCTTCGCCAGGAATCGAATCGCGGGCCTCTGGAATACGTGCCCAGCGTGCAGACCACCACACCACAAAGGCATACCAAGAAGGCGGAAGAAATACCTTATATGCTCCCCCTTTTAAAGGGCGACTGGAGTTTTTAGGAACCCAATCGCCAAATCCTGGGTGAGGAGAATGATCATCCAACAACCCTTTTAGTTCAAACATCACTGTAGAAACATTAGGTTTTTTTTAGGAAGCAGGAATCGTGAAAAATGAGCAAACGCTTTCACCGGGAATCGAACCGCGGACCTCCGGTGCAGACCACCATGCCAAGAAGGCAGGAGAAATACCTTATAATGCATTTCACAAATTCAGTTTAAAAAAAAAAAAAAAAAAAAAAAAAAAAAACTTGGATTTAATGGGTTATACAAATTTGAGAGACACAAACAAAATTTCTTCTTATGGGCTCTATATGAAAGGAAGGTAGATTTTAAAACTTTTGCATGTATTGGTCTGATTATTCGCATTAAATTCTTTTATTTAAAAATTACCAGTACAGAATTGATTTTTTATGAAAGTATCAGAACTAAAACACGAATTTTGTTATGTTTTTATTGCCTTCTACTAACAAAATAATTATTTCCTTACAGCCAACTGTACAGATTTCCAAGGAGAAAGAATTCTAAAAAGAACACATGAGAATGAGAAGTAACTTATTATGCATCCTGCAATTCCTAAATTAATATCATCATGAACTGTGATTAGGTTTATTTTTAATTTTTCCAGTTATTTAAAAATTAATTTTATATTTTCATAATTGTACATAAAATACAGTCAAAAGTCGTTAATCCGGACTTGTCGGGACTTCGGCGATTCCGGATTATCGATTTTTCCGGATTATAGATCATCAGTTTAAACTCGTAAGATGGCATGCTGAAATTCTAAAATTAAAAATATGAAACTGTAATTTATGAAATAAAGAACAATTATGATCTAAAGGGTATCAAAATTTGCAAAAAGAAAAAGCTTAATATTTATTTGTTTACTTTATTAAACATTTCTTTCAATGTAAGTTGTTTAAGTTTTGCTTCGTTTCATGTGATAATACGTTCTCTTTAATTCTATTAAACAGACATAATTTCTTGTTCAGTTACAAAGTTCCGCTGTTCAAGTCCTATAATTGCTGTGTCTAGTCAATCGAAATGTTTTCGTTTTCACTAACCTCTGTCACTTTCTTCCCTATCGGAAGCGAATTATAATGACGAGGAACTTGTTTTAAATCATATTAAAGACGGAGCACATCGAGATGAAATACTAATTTGGTAAGGAATTATAAGCCAAATAAAATAAAAACATCTGCCCTGAAGATAAGGATAGTACTGGCAGATCAACTTCCATCAACTTCCAATTCATTACGCGCCGAGCAGCGTGAAATTGATAAACAGATTTCGGATTTCAAAACATACTTTCGCTTTAGATCCTTTATATATTTACAAATATATATCGGAAATTCTATTTGATATAATCGAAAGTTTAAGCTTACTTTTATAAAATTGCTCTTGCAGTCTGCAAAAAATAATAAGCCGGATCCAATTCGAAAATTAAGGAACAACGCAATCATCAACATTAACTGAAATAGATAATTAGATAATTTTAGCTTATACGTCCATTATATATAAAACGCGCACGCGAAAACATATTCTGCACTTGCGCACACTCATATGCGCAGTCGTAAAAGGTCTTATGCGCATGTGTCAACGTGGCGCATGCGCAGAAAGTTTTTAGTTTTGAGGTCCAGATTATAGATCATTCCGAATTATGGGTGTCCGAATTAACGACTTTTGACTGTAGTATAATATTTTTATATTCAGTTAATAATTATGGATTTCATTCATGAATTATGTTTTTAATACTAATAAATTTTATGATATATTTTGTTTGAAGCATATTTTCTTTGCTTATGTTAAAAGTAAAATTCTCTCATGAAAGCTAAAAAAAATCTCGTAATACACAAAATAAATTTTCTTTACGAATTTCTTTTGAAAGCATTTGATTGCTAAGTTCATAAATATGTCAAGTAAACATTTTGGAAAACATATATTTTAAGAAATAACATAATATAGGAACATAAAAATATTTAAGAAAGATTCACATTTGGATAATGGCAAAAGCTATCATCTGCCTATCTATGCCTTTGCAGAAGACATTAAGAGAAACACACTGATACTGTGGTGTGTTATGGAAATTTTAATAAAGGAATCACAATTTATGTTATAAACAGTATCAAATTATAATTAAATATTTTACTTTTTTCAAAAAACAGAACTACAAATAATGGGTTTTAAACCAAAAAATAGAAAAAGTAATAATAATTAAAAAATATCACAGAAATTACATAAAATAATAATGTAATATGGGACATAAAATAATGTAATATGGGACAGTTTATACCAGAAACTCTCACATATTTTCTTTTCCTGTCGCATCAACTGATCTTGCGGGTTCCAAGGCTGAGCAGTGATTTTTCAAGAGTTTCTACATAAGATTTAGCATTAAATTCTTTTAAGGTTTCCTACTTAAGGAGAGTCATTAAATTGCATATATGCTGTACAGTCAAAGAAGATCTGTATTTGATGAAGTACTTTGGATACCCAACAATAAACCTATTGAAAACAGTGGCATTTTCTAATTTCCTCCTCCTTCAAACCATAACAAGATCAGAGACAAGATCCCCCCCCCAATTTTCAGAAAAGAAAGATTAATTTAAATCAAATTATGATTATGACACAAAATATTTGTAGTTTTCTATACCATACACAGAGCGAGAACATTCTAAGAATGCATTCTTAGCGGTTTTCCTGAGAATATTCTCAAAGGTAGGTTAAAGCTATATATACTCTGCCTGTATGCGGAGTAGTGGTATTTTGAATCAGTAATGTCTTGAGTTCAGAGATTAGCTCGAGAGCGATCGACAGAGTCAGGATCTGTATTTTGGTGCTTAGCTGTCAAGCTGTCTTCACCATTTACAGCCTAAAATCTGTTGATCGTTTCAGCGTTTTTATTGTAGTTTTTCAATGACTGTAAACATGTCTTTGGAACTGTGATGTGTAATACTGGCGAATAAATTGTGTTTTGATTCTTTATCAAGTATTATCATCAATTACTCTAAATCCACCAACCTGTAAAATGCAACAATATCTTACTGAACCAGAGATACATCATAAGTGCCATATGAAATTACAATTGGCTCTAAAATATTCATAACATATAGTGATAATTATTATTATCACTTCGAAGAACATGAATAACTAATCAGCTTTTCTACAGGCTACCCAGTGAAATGCTGCATGAGGCAGTTCATTAACCCATATATTGCTGTTGTGGAGATTAAATGTATTACAGGCCTCACTAGTAAATACAATACATGTTCCACAGAGTCTTCATTTTCAACATCATCAGAGTATGTAGATAAGTGAGATGCAGTCTTCTTTAGAAAGTACCTTTTGTTACGGAGAGAGGAAAGGTTTTTGAACAGCTGCCTGGAGAACATCAAAGTCTACCTACAGAAGATATATGACTTCTCTCAACTGCTTCTTCAGTTCCTAGAACATTTTGTGCTTTCCATGTTGATGGCTTTCCTTAATTATATTTATCCAACAGTCATCTCAACAGCTTCTTTAAAATTAAATAACTATTACTCTGTTACGCATTCTTGTTGAATCTCATTTATGAAAATTTCCACTGAAACTCATTCCAAAACTTTAATATGCAGCTGAGTTACATAATCATCATCAGTTGTTGGTATGATTTATTTTAAATGAAAAAAGATTTAAATCATCAACATTTTCAATAAAATATAAGGCTTTTGAAAACACTCTGAATGAGAAATGGCCTGCATGCATGCAATAGGTTAGAACTAAGAAATTTTTTTCAAGTTTATGAATGTAAATAAAAGTTTGAATTCTTACCAATTAAAATTTTAATTAATGAAGTTAATGCTTCCATGTGAATGTCCAATCAAGAAATAACATAACAAATACTGTAATATATTGCATTTATTTGTGGTTAAAAACCGTGTTCTCTCAAGTTTATTACATGAAATCAAATACACACTTAAATAATCATGTAATTTATGATTACATGCTATTTAGTTAATAAAAACACATTATACTTTTATATATATTTTTTAATATTATTTTCATATTGATACATACAAATATGTACAGAATAATACAAAATTAGGAGCACCTTAAATTTAACAATTGTTTTCATTAAATCAGCCTGAAATATATAAAATCAAAAGGATATTTAACCTAAATTCAGTTTCTTAAAAAAAGTAACATTTATATATGTGCAACAGATGAATAATTATAAGCAAACAACTAAAAACATAATTTTAAGAATTTTGTGATACTTATATTTAAAATTGAATTAAGATGATTCCTTGATTTAACAATACTTTTCTGAAGTTGTTAAATAGGAATTTAATTGCAGTTCATATAAGTAATTTTATTTTGAATAAAATATGCAAGAATTTAAGACTATTTTATTATTAAAAAACTGCATTCAGAAGCGCCATCCCTTTGCTTTTCAAAAGCAAGACATTTCTACTAAAAAAAAAAAATTTAAAATGCTTAAACAGAAGAAAATGAAATATATTATTAGATGTTAGAGGAGAGGAATGGTATTTATTAGTTATCAAAATATACTCATCCTGAGATGATGTATGCAGTATGCAGTAGTTCATGATCTTTATCTTACAAAATTTATTAAGAGTACATTTGATTTGATCAGAATTAACATCCAGAATTTGCTGTTATACAAGAAGTAATTCCGTTAAATTCTGCAAATTTGAAAAAGCTGTGTAAAATTTTGTAGGTAAAATTGAAGTGCATTAAAATAAAGTAAACAAATTAAGATAAAAAATATTCTTTCATGTGATAAATGTAAAAAAAAAAATTGCTAATATGATTGCCAATATAAATTTCAGTATTTGTATTTAGATTAAGGGAAAGTCCTTAATTGTTTTAAATAAGAAATCATTAAATTATTAACTAATCATCTAGTATTTGAAAAGATATACATTTTAATTCCTTAAATAAAAAAACTCAGGATTTTTAATGGAGGGAGAGCATTTACTCATTTCTGTAAAGGTATTTCTCTTTTAGAAGCTGATAAAACTGCCAATTACTAGGTGTAATATATACACATTAACTGAAGAATTGCTGCATATAAAGCATCAGAATACGAACATTTTCAAAATTCTTTTATCTGTGATGCACTTCATATTGCCATTAGCTTCACTAATTTTTTTTTTTTTTTTTTTTTTTTTTTTTTTTTTTTTTTTTATATATATATATATATTACAGATTTGATAATGTTTTTGTATAGCACTGCATACTAAAAATTAAAACAAATATCTAATTTCATCTAAAAACACTTAATGTCATGTAAAAACTGTGCCATGGTAAATCAATAATTATAAGTAAATCTGCAATTTAAACAAATAAAATACAAGCATACATTAACACTCAGTTTAAATAAAGAAAACATTAAAAAAACTATAAACTAGACATCACATATATCTTAACAACTTATCGATGGATAACAATGTATGTTTCAAACTTAATACTGCCTTCAGATTTCAATGATGGGAAATTGCATCTAATAAATTATTGTTAAGTAATCAATCAACTATCTCATTGATAAGGTGATTGATAATTGTTAAGTAATCAATTTTATAGTCTCATCGATAAGGTGTTAATTGACAACTGAACTGAAAAGAAAATTTTAAAAAATGTACACACTCTGAAATACATCATATATCACATTTTGGACTAGAAATATATTAAAAAATTTTAAAATCACAAAATTCACCAAAATGAATTTAATCACATAACTTAAATGGCATATAAAAAAAAGCAATTATAAATTAGTTGAATTCAAATTTTCAGTTAGAAAGGACGAATTTCATCAAGAATACAACTACAGCTTAAAATTTACATATCTGCATTTCTTCTCATATTTGTCAAGAGTAAAATATAGAAGAATTTACTCATAAAAAAAAATGAATGTGACTACAAATAACCTTGCAGTTATCATCTGAATTTATTTAATTAAAAATATCATATAAGCAAGTCTCTTGTAGTAACATTACAATGCTTAATTAATATGATTAACATATTAATATACAATCATTATCTAGAATTTTAGGATATATTAAATACATTTAAATAAAATTCTTTTTAATAATTTCAGGAAGTTACAAACTTTTTTAAGCATGATGAATTTAAAGGAAATTAACATGATTTAGTATAAAATTTTATTTTAAATATATTATCTTTAAATTAAATTTTTAAATCTAAAGGCTTGACATGAGATTTTTTTTTCCCCTTTATGTGACACAAATTCTCACATGGCCTTGGTGTTGACATTTCTTCTAATGCAAGTGAATGCTGGAGTAAATTTCAATGTGCATATATTAAGAGAAACTTATGACCATATAAAGCATATACATATTAGCCTATATATAATAGAAAAAGAGTAAGATATAGAAGATAATAGAAAAAGCTAAATTTATTTTTAGAGACTTATGCAACATACACTTATTAAAAAAGGGTCCTCATGCTAAATCCAAAACTCTAGTGACTAATGTAAAGTTAGCAGGTTTTTCTGAAGCCAGTGCAGCATAAGATAATATCAGCTACTAAAGAAGAAATTTTGTTTGACGCATTAACATATTTCAAATTATTAATACTCTCAGTGGAATTTTCTTCACTTCCTCACATATTGCAGTAAAACCACAGAAACAGACCCCACATTTCCTAATTTCTATTTGTGAAGATGATTGCCTTAAAGAATACAACATCATAGATGTTCAATATCTTTGTTCTCAAAAATGTTTAATATTAATATTTTTTCAGATGTTCAATATTTATGTTTTCAGAAATGTTGTCAGTCAGCATGAGAGGTGTCACAGTATTTATTCTTACAAACAGAAAAAGCATATACAATGAAACCTCGTTTCACAAATTTAATTGATTCCTGAAGGCTGTTCGTCAACCAAAACAATTTTTGCCATTGGAATTAATGTAAATGCATTTTCCTGGACCACAATTGTTCAACTCCACAACAATATTCTGGGAACAAAATCATTGCCAAAAAACCAATGGATATCATTAAATATAAGACAAAGGTAAACATAGCATTAAACAGATAAAAAAAGTCAAAAGCTTAATTTAATATTACTGTATGAAAGAACATTATGCAGCATAAATGGAAAATGACAAGGAAGATGTTATCATTTGGATGAGGCATCTCTTCCTAATGCAAACATTAAGCAACGGTCTTTGGTAAGTATCTTATTTTATTTTCCTTTGTCTTTGCACTGTTTGACTCTGTTTGAGATTCACCAAGCCTTCATTTAAAATTTACCTCATGTGATTTATTGTTGTTTATGTTTTAAAATGTTCCTAAAGTGACATATTGGTATTATCACTGAAAATGCTTATGTTGTAACTTCTTACTTCTTTATCAGGGTGATATCATTGCGTGAAAACTTTACATTTTCCCCATTCTGCACAAATTTCCCATCTTCCTCTTCTACAATTGCCTTTTGTTGCTGATTATGAAGTTGCTGTAGTTCTTTCTTGTTGAGTTCATTTTTATAATCTTCTAATAACATCTCCATGTCCTTATTGTTAACTATCTATCGCATGGTTTTGCCTAGATACATAATATCATAGATAACAAAAGAAGTCCTAAGTGTCAAAACCCTCAAAGTCTCTGCATATAGTCCAATCTCAACATAATTTCCTCCAAACCAAACTCAAGCTCTTATGAATCACTTGCTGCCAGACTTTGTTACTGAGGATAAAGCAAAGGAAAATATTAAAATGATGTGATGTTATCTGTTCAGAGATTTTGTTTGTGAAATGAAGCATTTGTGATCTGAGGCTCCGCTGCTCTTTGAAATATATGCTTTGTTGCTGTAGTTGCTTGCAGGATAGGATACTGAGTTCAGTTTTTAATGCTACAGATTTAAAAGGAACATGATTGTTCTGACTAAAAAAAAAAAAAAGAAACTTGTTCCATTTCATACAATTTCAATTGTATATTTGGACAGTTGCTTAATTTTTCATATACTTCACATTCTAAATGCAATATTTTATTGAATAATTTGTTATCAGATAATTATTCTTTGACATTCTTTTCTCTGTATGTTTACATTTTACAATGTCCATTTAAAATTCTTTTGATGAATAAATTTTCCTATCCATTTTCCAAGAATGAAATACAGCTGCAAAGAAACCAATAAATTCTTCTGCTGAAAACTACTTATCCACTCTTAAAATCTGCAGTTTGATTTAACTGATTACTTTCATGCAAAGAAATATAATAAAGTATCCTGCTTAGGTAAGATCAGAATTAATCTTGGCTTTGGCTGATGGAAAAAATGAACTCCAAACGAAACATGCACACTAAATGTATATTCATACTGTCTGAATTTACTAGGAGATATTAAATATTAATATATTAAACTATCAGAATGTCATAAAATGCCAAATTCCTTTTACTGCAGGAAACACTAATTGGCAGAATGTTATAAACAAATGTAAATTATGCTATACTAGGTATAATTATAGCAATATAAAAATTAGCTGCATTATAAAATAAATCTAGCACCTACAAAGCTGAGCAAAATAATTCTGTAGCTGCACATTTTCTAGGAAGTCACATTTTTGAACATGCTAACTCAAAGATAAAAAAAGGCACCACACATTAAAATGTTTACAGATAGTGCACACAATTACAGACAAACATATAGCCTGTCTCTACAGTGTTATGTGAAACTAAATAAAAATGACAAGAGGAAAAAAAATTGTTTTGAAATCAAAGAATATTTTGTGACAGAAGATAAAAGATTACTTCTATGCATTAATCAAATTTATCATGTTGTATGAATAAAAAAAATTAAGTAAAAATTTATCACAAGATCTATAAATCTCTCACATTCAGTGTTCCTCCTCAAGAAGTATATGACAAAAATATTTTCTTTCTCTCTCTCTCTCTCTATATATATATATATATATTTATTCATTCATTTATAAAATAAATCAAAAATTCAAACCCAATACATATTCACTGTAATAAGGAGCTGGCAATAAATAAACTATTTTGAAAAAGAAATAAACTGCTGTAAATAATTAAGAAAAGGTGCCCAGCTTTGAAATTCAATGAGTGCGAAAATGATAAAATAAAGTAAGAATTTACATCTCCTGACACACTGTCATCAGAGGTTGGTTTATTGAGAGAAATAAATGTAGCAACTTATTTCTGAAATGAAGATGACACAAGTTTACTAAATTTAAAACTTCAATAAATTAAATAAGTACTCCATTCCCTTGATACACCAGCTACCTAAAGACTAGAGGAAAAAAATTCTCTTTTGATTTTATATTATTGTTTTTGCACAGCATTTTATTTTTTCCCCACTCATTAAATTTCAAAGCTAGAACATCTTTTTTAAAATTACGTTCATTACGTATTTACAGTGGTTTATTGCTTTTGCAAAATGGGTTACTTATTGCTAGTTCATTATTCCCTGCTGAATATATATTGGGTTTAAATTATCCATTTAATTTATTAATACTGCCATCAGTTTTTGCAGCATACAATGCATAGTTGGATATTGGATTAAAACTTTTTCTTTTATTATTATTATATATGTAAGAAAAATATATAAATTATATATAGATAAGATAAAAATATGTTAAGCAAACTTCTAATTTTAATTGGCAATAGCCTCTTTTATTCTTCATATTAATTTGGATATTTTCCCTTTCTGTCCTAAGATTAGTAACTATTTATAATATATCCATCTAAACTGCATCATTTCAAAATTAATTCGTATCATACAATCTTATTTTACGCTCAATGCAGATTGCTTTTATCCAATCACTGAGTAAGATTTCAACTGAAACTCCCCCCTTTTTTTAATTTCTCCTACATTTTCTTCAGAATGCATCACTTTCTCACTTGCATCAAAGTAGCATGTCACCCACTTGCTTTTGTTTATCATACATTACAAGATGTGCTAAGCTTCTAAAAGCACCCATTTTGTGATGGATTAATGAAGCATGTGTCAACCATATATAAAAAGTAAATAATTGAATTTGCCCACATTTGCAAGTCACTTCTTTGTTATGCATTTACTATGCCAAACAACTATTTCCAACAGTTTCCTAATTTGCATCCAACATATGTATGCATTTCTTAAATTAATCTTTATTAACAGAGCTAAAATTAAAGTAAATTTTAAATATATACATAATTAGTCTAAACTATATAATATTAAAAATCCACTAGAAAATTTTCAGAAGTATTTTTATAAATTGAAAAAAGCAGGAAAAGATTTGAAAGCTTAACACAGAAATCTTGTTATAGCTTGTAGCTGCTCCATTTTCTGGCTAATTGGTTACATTTAATCAGAAAATGGAGCAACTACATCATTTGCACACACAATAAATACACTTTTCTGCTATCACTAAGTGAAAAAGACTAAGAGGAAAGATGTGTTTGATATATAAGTCAGATTCTCCTTTCAAACATCGAAACTCAATTCAACCCAATATTAATATTATGTTTATTATAATTATTATTCTAAACATGTTCAACATTTTACATATTAGTTCCAGTAAAGTGTAGTTTTGGTATTATTACAATACCAAAACTACACTTTACTGGAACTAATATAATGCTTCATTAAAAAAGGTTCTAATTAGACCCACGCAAGTAATTTATGAGGAGTTATTTCAGTTTCAAGATATACTACATATTATGATGTCATTATTAAGCAATTTTTTTTTCAAAAGTGTTGAAGAAAATCAAGCACGGGAAATTGTGATAAATGTTAGTTATGAGTATGGGCCAAAAGTCATCACAAAAGAAAAAACAAGGGTAAGAAAGAAGAAACTATTGACATTAAAATTATTTTACTGTATGATTTCATGAAACACAATTTATTTCAGGTAATTAATGAAAATACATTTCTAAAAGTACTACTTTTATCAGGCATTGCTACATGCATAAAAAGGGTTTGGCAAAGCATCCTAGGGCTATCTGCCTATGTACATGGATGCCTTCATGGAGGACTTTTTAATGGAAACTGGCTCATATCCACATTACCCATGGGGAAAAACCGTGAAAATGTCCATGAAGCCAGCCCATACGCTGAGATTCAAATCCAGATTGAACTATCAGTGTTCAGAAACTTTACCACTAGGCCACTGGTAAGCCCCACAGAGAAGAAGCTTTCTCCACAGAAACAACACATATAACTAATTATATGGTAATGCTCTAAATGTAAAAAAAAAGGAGGGAAATTTTGTTTTTCAATGTATTTATATTTTATCTCCTCCTTCTTTGAATATCCGCATTTTACTACATGAAAATTTTTTCACTGGGCTTTTCTTTATTAGAATGCTTCTCTGTTGGAAAAGTTTTTTCATGGGCATTTATGAACTTGAGTTTCTTTTATTTATTATTTTTTTTCTATTTTATTTATTTATATTTTGAATTATTTTATCATATAGGCTTTTGGCACAAAATTGTAGAATATATACATAATTAATCATACACATTTATAAGCATAAACATTTGCATATATATTACACAGATATATTTCTATAGACATATTTTCACAAGCATATTGAAATAAAATATATTTCCAGAATTAATGAGTTCAACATTTAAGAAAAAAATTTTTTTCACTATATTTGAGAACAAAGTAAATACAATTAAAACAAAACAACTAATGTGCATTATAATGTGTATTATAATGTGCTCAGAAAATATATTTCATTGCAGTATTCTTGGATTTGTTTTGTGCTCTTTAAAATCAAATACAGAATACAGTATATTTTGTGATACATATGAATGTACTTTCAGTAACAAGGGAAAAAATGTCTGCTATATATGATGTTCAAGAGTGTCAAAACATTACAGGCTAGCATTGAAATCTGTCAAAAGCTCATTCTTTAGTCTAACATCTTCAACGTGTGAAATATTAACTATTTTTAAAAACTCTTAAATTATTCCCAGAACCCTCTGAGCAAACAAACAAAAAAGTCAACATATAATTTGCGGAGAGGGTTAAAAAATATTCACAGTTATTGAATAAATCTGATATTCCAACAAAAATAATAAATTAGCTCTAGCTAGAAACATACCAATTTTAAAATTACTCAAAATTCAACTTTCTATTGGCACTGATTTTGGAGGGAAAACAAAGTCCACTGTAAAGTGAAAATTTGCACTAATTTTGGACTCGGACAGATATTTAAATTTGATCCAAAAAAGAATTTACAAAAAATCAAGTTAAATAATATCAAGAACATACTAATTATGCACATTATATTATGATGTGTTTATATTTTATTTTAAAGAAATTAGGATTATGCTTCTGGGCTAAACATGTGAGAGCTACCATATATTTCCATGTATAATATTAATGATTGAAGAAATATTTTTATTTTATTTAACACTAATATACATTAATCAAATTTCTCAGAATCAGTGTCTAGCTCAGAATTTTCTAAAAATCCGCATATGTATCTCTGTAACAATCAAATCAAAATGAACGGCATTTTTTTCTGTTTCACTGTTAACATAATTTTTTATCAATAGCACTACTAATGAAACATTCTTTTAACAATCTTTCTTTCTTTCTTTTTTTTTTTTAAATATGTGAGCATTTCGCACTCATCTTTATCTCATTATTCATTTACATTTCCATTATTCAAACATTTAACAATAATTGCAGGATTTATAAAAGCCAATACACAAGTTTTCAATTTTGGCTAAATTTTTGCAGTAAAACCTCACTTCTCAATTTACATATGCATCAGCTTATATTTGGAAAATTCTGTAAACTAGTGATGGATTTAAATAATCACTTTACAAAATACAGTTTTTATATATATGAAATGATTTTCATTTTATTACATCAGTGCTTAATTTATTCTGCAAGACACATTTTGAAACTTTCGGGATATATATAATTCTAATTTTCAATGATGCATTCTTAATCATAAAATAAAATAGATACTGTAAATATTACAAGCAGACATCATAATATTTATGAGCAGTATACAACAGAAAACATACTACCTAAAACTTTCATTTATATGATCCACATATTTCAAAAAACGCTTGATGATTAATTTCTACCTAACAGCAATTCTACATAGCTATGGCTCCATATAAAAGCAAATCCACTAGTATGCTCAACATCATACATTACTATCTTAAATAAGTTTACAAATGCATATCTGTCATGTATGGTGTAAAAGTAATGTAAATAAATATGTTATGGTTAAGAAATTAAACAAAAATTATTTATGCATTTAAATAAAATATCTAAGGGGATTCCACGAATTTGCATACTTCAATGTATTCATTATCTAATCATTATATTTTATTGGTATTTTGATGAAGAAGAAAAAAAATGCATAGGATGGAAATACACAATGTTTCACTTTTCTCAGTGAAAAAATTTAAAAGTTATTCCAGACAAGTTAACAGTACATCAAAAAATAATGTGCGTTTCTGGTGCTAATAATAAAATAAACAAATGCAGACATATATTAGGATGCTAGAACAATATACTATTTTTTAACTTAATAATTTTTTATCTCATAGAGATAAAAAATAAAATAAATTGTAAAATTTTAAAATTTGGTTTAGCCTTTTTACATTTTATAACAAAATTTTAAAAAAAAATATTTATATTTATGCACATTCTTATACAATGCTAAAAAAATTAAAAGACCAGTCACTTTTTTGAAGAAATATTTATTTTACAGTTCACATTTTGAGAAAAAAATGCGATATATGTTTATGTAGCCCTACAAATATATGCCTTGGGAAAATTTGGCTTTTAAAATTATTTTATTCAATTTAAGAGCCTAAAATATTGTCTAAACCCCTTGTTGAGTCTTCAAATATTTTAGTACATAAAAATAAAAAGCTTAAACTATTTCCTTTTATGAGGATTTCAGGTTGTTCAGGTTGTCAGTATTTCTAGGTTGTGTTGTATACCCAATCTGAGCATCTGTACAAGCAGCAATAGAATCTCTCTAAAGTATTCTTTGCGTGTTTTATTGGATTCAAGTTGGGTGAGGATGTCAGACACTTCATATGCTTGATTTCTTGCTTCAAAAGGCAATCTCCCACAAGATGAGCACTGTGATATCGAACATCATAATCCATTTAAAAAGGTAAGTATTACCTGTGGCTTCAACCAGATCAAAGTTCTAAAGTACTTGTACCTTCTTCCCATCTGGTATCCCATCTGATAGTTATTCCTGACAAATCCATCAATACTATGCCTAGATTTTATGGGCAAGCATATTAAGTGCATAAAATTGAGATTATCTTGTATCACATTCTTTTCATATAATGAATGAATTTCTATCTTTACATGAAAAGTATATTTATATTTAAATATTCAATTTCTATATGAAGAATTTCTTTAAACAGAATTTTGACACATTTGTAAGAGAATTCAACATCACTCTGTACTACCCCACTGCAGTGGCATTTGCCCAGTTATTCCCCATCTTATGGTGCCTTATAGTTAAATATCCATATCCTACAGTTAATTTCCTTGATAAAATTAGAGGTTAAAGACATATTACAGGCCAATATCTAATATAAAAAATACCGATGAAGATTACTTTGGATAGTTTGGGTCGATGCATTGTTTTCTAGCCAAGAAAAGCTCCTTTGGCAGGTAAGTAGCATTTTTTGTTCTTCAATGGCTGTTATAGACAAAAATAACTATAAGCTTGTTTACATCATGTTGATGACTTTGACTTACAGTTCTTGTCTTTGTCCACCTGTTTCCAGGTTACCAATTTTTCAACAAGCCATTGATTCCTGAAATTCATGACACTGAGTTATTACTCAAACTTTTTCTGTAGAAAATTACACCACTAGGCCTAATACCTCATGATACAAACAGCATAATGTGGGATTCCCAAGTCATGGTTTTATTTTTGCAATTCTGCCAGTTATGTATTTTGACATCACTCATGCTCTTTTACATAAGAAATCTTCTGCTTCTTGAAGTATTAAATTTATATTCAGATTTTAATTAGATTTTAAGCATTATTGAGCATAATATAGCAAAAAACAAGGAGACCATTAATTTTTAGCAGTGCATAATTATGTGTACATTTACCATATATTAATAATACAAAACAAATGTGTATAGAATAGCATTTCAGAATTACAAACAATCCAAAATGTAAATTACAAAGGTGCCCCATAAAGTATGCAGACAAATTAAAAAACCAAATGATAAAATAAAAAATGAAAGAATAAATATATGTTTAGAAAGAGTGATATTTCTTGTTAGAGCCAGTTTACACTAGTTATTTTAGTCTGCATGCTAAAACTCTAGAGTCATTTTCAATTTCTGAGAAGTTGTATAAAAACATTTGCTTCCGGATGGAACACTGTTACAGCATTACATTTTGTTACAATTTGCGTAAATCTGCTACCAAAAAGCTACAGATGATTCAGGCAACATATGGTGATGCATCATTATCAAGTGTATGATTGTTGCAACTGCTTTAAATGTGGGTGTGAAAGTGTCAAAGATGAACCAAAGGTAGGGTGCCCTTCAACTTAAAAAAAAAAATGAAGAAAATGTGGAGAAAATTTGTTCTTTTGCAAAAGCTGATAGATATGTAATAACTCAGCAACTTTCAGATGTGCTTTTATTAAACAAAGTTGTAAGTTACTTTTAATTGAAAGTCTGGAAATGAAGAAAGCTTGTGCAGGATTTATGCCTTGGATTTTAAAAGAACCAGAAAAATAAGGCAAAAAGTTTGCTGTGAAGATTTGCCAACAACTGTGAAACAGGACAACAATTCCTTAAAATATATCATAGCAAGAGATGAGACATAGTGTCTACAATATGAACCAGAAACAAAAGGAGAAAGTGAATAATGAAAAGGACTGCCTCCTTCCCTATAAAAAAAAGCACTGATGTCAAGATCAAAAACTAAAGCTGATTGCAACTTTTTATTACAAAAGACTTATTCACCTTCAATTTGTCCCTGAAAATCAATCAGTTAATCAGTAGTTTTACAATGAGGTGCTTTTTCATTTAAACAGGACAAGGTGAGTTAGGAATTAACTTCTTGATTTTAGGCTATGGTTTCTTTTACACTAAAATTCTAATCCCCATACAGCATTGCCTATACAACAATATTTGGTTAAGTATTCAATTGCAGTGATAAACCACCCACCATGTTCTCCCGACTTATCGCCGGCTGACTATTTTCTTTTTCCATAGCATAAGATGGCCATGAATAGACATAGATTTGAAAATGTCTGAGATATTAAATCAAATGTTATGCATATTTTGTGAATGGTTAGTTCTAATGCCACTAAACAGCATTTTGATGACCTGAAGAAAGTTGGGAAAACTTGTATAGGTATCTCTGGCAATTATTTCCAAGGAGTTAAATTTATTTGAAAGTTAGTAATCTTATTTATAAGAAACTGTCTGCTTACTTTATGGGTGCACATTCCCAGTCATGCATTTAACTTCCCCCCCTTTTCTTTTAATGCTTCTTTACCCTGAGTTTATTTTTACTTTATTGACTTTTTCAATGACAAAATATGACCACAATTTCACATCAAATTCCATTAAGCTTTATGCATTTTCATATGCATTCATATATTCACAATTCAGAGGTAAGATGGATATACGTCTGCATAATATTACATTTTTGGATTCAAGATTTGTGGCATTGTATTATATTTTTCTTTCTATTTTTTTTTTAATCCTTGACTGACAGAAATATTTCAAATTTAAAAAAAAACTCTATTTAAAAAAAAATTAAAGTTTAACAGAACTGAAATTAGTCAACATATGTAAAGAAGTAAGTAAATAATTTTTAATTATTCCTGCATACATAAACAGACACACAGTTTTCACATACCTAGATTTTCTTGCATTTAATCAATGCATGATTCTAAAATGAATGGAGCTTCTGTGTAAACCTTTTCTACTTTATTTAATGGTTTTGCATCTAAATCCACAATAGCAATGGAAAAAAGGTAAAAATTCCCATTTCCATCCGAGATAACATTCTCACAATGTTTTGGGATAAAACTAGAATATAAAAGAATTCTTTTAAAATCAGAAATATAAAATAATTCAATTAATTACAATGCACAACTGAACAGTAATTTCTATGCACATGCATATTTCTATATGTCATTTTCATGATTCATAGGACAACAGCTCGCCATATATTTTGCATATTTAACAAAATTTTTCACAAGAGGATTTAATGCTAACTGCAAGTATATATTACAGGTAATTAAATAAACTTTTTTAAATAGCTAATACTTATAAATTTGATCTCTTTCTCTAAATAAAACAAAACTCAGAATTTTAAAATCCAGTTGATACATATTTTAAATTAAAAAATTGAACATATTACTCCTAAGCATAAAGACTATTGTAGAGCAAGGAGAACATATGCATCTGCTTCTTAAAACTGCATTTCTTAATTCTAATTTGCAGGATTACTTTCAGTACTTTAAACATTAAAACAGTAACATAAAATTTGAAAACCATAAAATTCATTCATAAAAAATAATAGTAAAATTCCTTAGCTTTACTAAAGATATTGCTGAATGAAATAAAATTATAAACAATTTCCATATGCTGATTTTAGCTGCCAAACCGGTATAGTGATTGTTTGGTGGAAGGGGTGAAAGACTCTCGGACCCATCCTCACAGAGTTCTCTGCATCAAAACTGGGGGGGGGACTGAGCCAAATTGATCTGTCACGTATTAAGTGCTCAAGACTGTTGCCAACAACAGGCATAATCTAGTGCTCCTTGCCATGAGGAATTTCGTGGCTGGTTTTGTGATTTTAATATTAACAAAGAATTCCTTAGAGACAGACCTTTAATACTTACAAAAACTACTTAAATCTTTAGTATGAGATGAATAATTAAATGATAAATTAATGTTTTGGGTAATTTTATTCAAAAGCAGTTCTTAAAATGTATTTTAAATATGAATAAAATACAAACATATTTATTACATAATTTTTTGAGTTAGAAATATTATCACACTTAATTATAATTAAAGAAATAGATATTTAGAATATATTTAAACAATATAATATAATGCAAAGCATGAATTGTAAGAATACCTTGTTTATAAAACTTTCTTGCCAATCTTAATTGAGATGCATTAGTTTTATGATACATGTATGTTTGTAAGAGAAGAAATTGAAATATGAGTTAGAATGGTTAAATAAAATGTTGATCCTATATATAAGTCGCTCAGAAGCCAATGCAGTTAAGTCCAGAAAACAAAAATTGAGAAAATTAATGTTTTTTGATACATTAATTTTTAAAATTCTTGGTTTGTTAATTTAATCAGAAAAGTATATATAGTCTTTTTTCTAAGTGTTATGCAAAAAAAAAAAAAAAAAAAAAAAAAGATATGTACAGGATCTGTAAATAAAAACGTAAGTATTTATTGGAACAATGACAGCATCTTAAAAATTTTAGGACTTATATCTTTCGGCAGCTGAAAAAGATAAGAAATTTCCCTCGACATTTTTATCAGTCAGAGTTTTTACAGTTATTAAAGAAAATTTATTTAATGTTTTTGATAACACAATAATTTTCACAAACACTTCAATGTAATATTTTTATGTTTTAAGTTTAGATATTTCAAATTAAAAGAAAGCACATACATAAAACTCGAGCAATTCTAAATAGTAGAAGTAACAGTTACAGTTACTATGAATTTGTTGTTTTTCAGTGTTGCCAACAAATATCAAAAGAAGAAGAATTTAATTTTTATTTCAAAATTTATACATAAAAAATATTGATAAAAAGTGGACTTGCTCACAATGGCTTCTGAAATTATTATACAATATATTCAGAAGCTATAAAAAAAGGGCTGTCTGACCTAGAAAAAAGGAAGTAACAAGTAAATTCTTTAATAACTAAGAAGAATATAATTTATTTCATCAAAATTTACAAAAATCAGAAAATATTAAAAATTGTAACAATAATTTCTGAGTTTCTGGTTTCTGAGCCACTCATATAACAAGAATGTATATAATAACAATATTTGTGTAATAAAATTAATGTGTAGATATATTAATAATTTTATGCTTTACTTTTTCCCCTTTCAAAATTTATATGGGGCACTTTAATTGCCAACTGTAATTAATTTATTGTCAGATTTACCATAAATATAATATATGATAAGAATCTTGCAAAAGAGATTGATCCAAAAAAAGATTAAAAAATAAAGGAAAAAATCTCATTACATCTGCATAATAAAAAAAAATCTATAATAATAAAAAAGAAGAGTTTGCATGTATATATCCAGGTTCTTTATAGAATAGAGATGGAAAGACCCAGAGCTATTAAATTTGGCACACAAATTTATCAAATCTATCACCTCAATGTGACTTTTTTAAAAAAATTAAAAAATTTTTTTAATTAATTAATTTTTTTTTCACCTTTCTCATGATAATGCCTTAGTTATTTCTCTTCTTTTTGTGGCAACAGTTCATCTGTTAAACTTCGTGCAAACAGCATATAAATTTATATATAGTATTTATTTCTTTTAATTTCATCCTTATTTTATTATTATATGTAACATCCCCTGGTATATGCAGGGCATCCACAAAGTCCCTATTACCCATATCTGTAAGAAAGAGGTAGTACTGAAAACTTTTGTAATGCTATTACACATATATCATAGTTTTTTCCCAAAAATTAGTTTTTGTTTAATATATAAATAATGTGAGTATTTGGGGATTTGAAAATCCTCATGTTACAAGTCAGCTGAAGCAGAACAGCTCAAAAATGAATGTTTGATATGGGAGCTGCATGACAAAAATTTAGGACTATTTTTCTTTAATGATCAAATAATAACAGACAGGATTTACCTGATTAATTACATTTCCCTACAGCTGGAGGACCATCAACCAAAATCCATTTGGTCATGTGTTAAGGCTGTGCAACTTGTTTCACTTAAAACAGAGATTTGACTTGTCACAAAACCTTTGAACATTGATTGTGAAAGTATGACCAGCACATAAAGTTGTTCCATTCCCACACAACAACTGTTGAAGTTGTTCTGGGACTTCCTGCATTTCTCATTTAGATTCAAATTTCAATTGATCTCATTTAGATTCAAAATTCAATTCTGATCTCATTCTTCCTGGATATATGTTAAAATTTGAACTAGTGTAGATATCCCATTTAACACAAATTCAATTTTTTTTCTAGCGTGTTAATTTTTTTCATTGCATTTCAGTGCAACCGGTGGGTTCCCCCCCCCCATTTCCAGCACATTGTGTTACAACTAAAAGCAAACAAAGAATTAACAAGATCCTATTGGTATTATTATAACAACTATGAATGAATACATCAGTTTTCACTTCCAAAATATATGAGGGTACAATGAAGAGCATCAAAACAATATCATTCCCTTTCCTTGGAGACAAAGGAAATTTACAGGAAACTTACACTGCTCGACATTGAAAACGCAACACCAAGAAGGAGTGGTCAAAAACTTATGCAAATTTTAGAATAGACGCACGTCATTGAGTTATACGAATGATGTGAAATGCGCAGCTCTCCGACGCACATGAAGTAAGATATAAGAAAAGGAACAAGCAGAACGTGTATTCGTGTCATTATTTCTGCCAGACAAATTATTGAAGAAATTTGGTTTTTGTCCCAGAGGATACGTGTAATAGGAGAGAATGGCCATGGACTTACTATGTATTTTCTTTTGTCAAGATTTTTTTGTTGTTAATTTAAAGATAACATTCATTTCTTTTGCTTGTCATTTTACCACAGCATGTCTTCCAACGTAAAATTTTTTTTGATTGGTGCATATTTATTACTTCAGAATTTAAAATGCTTGACAGTACCTGATTGTAAAGTTTGGGTTGTTGATTTTAGATGCCGTCAACGAAGGCACTGCCAGCAGATAGACGATTTTACAAGGGGTATGGTGATCGGACTGAGGAGAGCACATTGGTCCTTACGTCAAATCGCAGCTGATACCCACATGGATGCAAGCACAGTGCATCGGCTATGGAGAACATGGATACCCTGGATGTTATCACGTCGACCAGAACCATTTCTTGTCGATTGGTTGAACATGACCTGCACTCACGGTGTCCCTTAAGAAGACTGCCATTGACCCCACAGAATAGACACCAATGTTTAGAATGGTGCCGGACTGGAGCGATATGGATGACAGAATGGCAAAACATCGTATTCTCAGATGAGTCACGCTTCTGTTTATCCAGTGACAGTCGCTGCATAAGTGCATCGCTGTCCGTGGTGGTCCTACATCCTACTGAGCCGACACTGTTCTCGCTGTGTATTCTGACTTTCATTTTGAAATAAAGATCACTTATTGCTGCTTGCTGTCTCTGTCTTTTTTCCAAATTTCATCACTTTCTGACCCCTCCTTCTTGGTGTCGCATTTTCAATGTTGAGCAGTGTATATTCTTCTCAGTGCACTAATTTTTCTTCTTTCTCATTATTCATATTGTTTTTTTTTATACAAACTTTTATGTTTTTTGCACTTATGATGACTTTTATAGTTCTATATGTAATGCCTTTTATAGTTCCTCTGAAAACAGTTTTCCCTTCATTTCCCCCTTTTTTATCATAACACCTTTTAATTAATAACATGTTATGCAGTATATAGTATTTTTGCTCATGTATTTAAAAGGAAAGCCCATTTTTTAACTGATAAATTTTAACTGATAAAATAACATTTGCTATAATCTTCCTCTTTAAAATTTGGTTTTCATGTATATTTACATAACTAATCAGAGTTACAAAATTTTTTCCATTGTCTAAAAATTAGAGCAGAATTTTTTAATTCCTCATGGAAATCTTATCAGACAGTACATAATAAACATTTTCAGTTTGGTTAAGTTTGGTAGATAATGGAAAAGCACACTAGGACTATCTGCCTAAGGGAAGGCATGCCTTTGTGGAGGACTTTTTTACAGGAATTGCCTCATATACATGTTACACATGCAGTACGTAATGATCAAACTGTAAATAATGCAGTATATTAATTAACAGGACCGCATT